AGGAGCCTCCTCACCATGCGATCCGTGGCTGAGTTTTTAATGCTGTCATAAAAGTTCACAAGCTGAAGTTGTAATGCTCAGTAACTCGTGTTCCTGAACTTCAGTTGCAGACAGATGCTACTACTTTTTTCTTTTTTTGCAGTGATCCTATGAATTCCAAAATGAAGCAGAAACTGAATGCAGACAAATCAGCAGGATCTTTGCAGGTATAGGCTTTAAAGTTTTGAAGCTAAAATATGGGAGCAGATAAGGGACAGAAAATAGAATATGCAATTCATCAAGAGTATCTCAAACACAGGATTTGCTTTGTTCAGAGGTTTGGGCTCAGTTCTCTGGGAAATGGTCCCTCTGTCTGACACAAGTTATGTATCCACTAAAGGAATAAATACAAAGGGATCCGTTGCGATGTGTTTCCACCTGGCTTGTGTCCTATTGGCTTGAGTTAACTCCTGGCAGGCAGAGTGGCTTTGGAACACTGTGTCCTGCTTGGGCATATGTACTTAATGACTTTTTTTTTCTATATTTCTCAGTGAGTCCTTTTTAATTTGATGCTGAGCTTGTTGACTTTTTCATGTGATTTTTATTTTTTTTTTTTAGGTGCTGGTTACCTGCCTTAGTTCGGTTACTGAATCAGTCTGACTGCTATAGTTTTGTAGAGTAGGTTCTGTAGTCTGCCCTTCATGGGGATGAACTTACTTAGAGTTAAATCTGTCTTGACTTGAGCATGCTTTAACTGAAGTATTCATGCTGTATCTAAAGCCACTCTTATGAACCATAGTTGCCTTGGAATTGGTGGAAATGCTTAAAGGATTTAGGTTTTCAAGGAGTGACAGATTTGAAGCTACTAAAGTTTAAAACTACTTTAGTCTGCTACAAGACTCTTTTGTTAAATCTTTTAATGTAGGCTGTAATTGGAATTGTACAAATACTATATAGAATCAAGGCTAATAACCCTCCATCATATGGGATAGAGTGACTGTAATGAGAATTTCTGGTATTAATGAAAATTGCCAATTCCTAAGTCTGACTTACACACATGGTAATCCTGTCCTATCATGACTGAAGGATATAAAGCCCTCAGGGTGGCTTTTTGTACTTTTAAGATACTTACATGCAATGAGTTAAGTATCAGTCAATAATTTCTTGGCAGAGTATACTTTAACCTTCAATAGCACAAGCAGTGTCTGACACGGTGTGATTCTTGTTCCCACAGCAGTTAGTGTTTGTCCTTTAGTTCAACAGCAGGATAATTGGTGGCAGAAACTACCGTGGGAAAGGCGAGCTCTTGTCCTATGAAGTACAGTGTGCATCGGTAACTTTCTCACGCTGGTGTGGCATTGTATTCTGGCTCTTCTTGCTTGGTTGTATGCCATTGTTTGCTATCCCATGGTGGCAGTGTAACCAACCCAATCGAGAAGCTTTAATGCAGGAAACAGGTATTTATGTGTTACAGGAAAGGTGATAAACATACTGTTTATACAAAAACAATAGTCTGGATGGATGGAAGCAAGGAAGCTTTAGATCCATTTTAATGGATAATCAAGCAACAAATCTATTTAAATAAACACCACTTGAGGGTGTGTTCATAGGTAACAAACTGGTACTACCAGAAGTCACATTACCACATAAACTTGCAATTGCAGTAGCTTTTGTCTCTGTCCCCCAAAGTTTAATACTGCTGTTGTCAAATACAACTTTGAGAGCTTCAGCTAAAGTTTACTTCTGTCACTGCACTGTAACTGGCCTTGACATCTAGTCAGAATATTTCTGCTATAAGACTTCTTCAAGTTCCTTTATGAAGGGTAAGGGTTTTCTAAGAGGCAGGGACTGAGCATAGCTTCATGTGATTAAGGTCTGTCTCTGCTACAAATAACTAGATTCCCTTCTTTGCACAAGCCTTAACATAGACTAAAGTATCACCTTTTTGTCTTGAAAAGATGAATTATGTGTCACCTTAATGGAGCATGCCAAATTCCCAAGTCTCAGTTTCTATAGAGAAGAATGGCAACTGTTTGAAGCTATATTTGTCTTTTTAGAAGTACCTCACAGACACCACAAGCAATGCTGCCCCAAGACAGACTCTTAAAATGATTCAGCCTTCAGCAACAGGTTGCCTGGTTGGCAGACGTAATGAGGTATGAATAACCTGTAGATGTGTAATTATTTCTACTCATAGTGAAATGCTTTTGAACTTTTAACTGAAAACGAATATATTTTAAAAAACGATCTGCTACTAGTGTGACACAACTTAAGCTTCCTATTTTAGTAATAAACAATATTATAACCTAGCAACTTCAGTACTTCAGTAAAATGTGTGGGACTTTTATTAAACCTATGGGTATTGAGGAAACTAGAACTGTAATGTGAAGAAAGTGGGGTTTATGAAGACTTATTTGCAGTCATGAGTGAGCAGATTTACAAGTTTGTATTTTTAAAAAAGATGAGATGTTGCTGTGAAGTTAAACTTGCCTGTGTTTTATGCAGAAGAAATCTTCAGTCAAAAGGAAACTCTGGAATAACAAGTTTACCTCAAAGGCTTGTAAAGCTGAGGTGTCTGTGGACAAGGAGCAAGAAAATGAGGATATGAATGATGTTAATCAAGCTGTAGATCTTATGATAAAAGGTATGTGGTAATTCCTGAAAATAAAATGCTATGCTCCCATTGGAATATAATGTGAAGCAGGGTTCCTTTGTCAGTTAGATAAGGGTTTAGTGTTTTTATATAATGCCTAGCAGGAATTAATGATACTTACCCTCTGTAGTACAGTAAGTACAGTATAGGTATCTAATGTTTCAGAATGGTTCTCAGCTACTGGTTTCTATAAACTCAGTGTGGAGCAGTCCTAAGAAGTCCTGTGGTTTGTTACTTTGGCTTAGATAGGAGATTTCAAGTGACTTAAGTTGAAATGAAAGTCTGTTTTTGCATAGTGTGCTGCATGTGCAGTTTCTCAGAACTAGTTTGAAAGTATCTCAAGTTCAGTGGGAGACTGATTTAACCCAGTGTGTGGGCTGTAACTTAGGAACAAGATTTGTCTTCCACAAAGCATTAAGACTGACAGTTGGAATTGTGACCATCATCTTGCAAAGCCTGCTGCCATGCTTGAGGCAGCTTCTGTAAAACTATGTCTCTAGTTGTAAATTTACAACTAATCTCTGGGAGAACATTATATGGAGTGAGTTCTTAACTATGATACTTTATAGAACTCTTGTACACAAGTTAGATATCTTAAGATTGCAAGAATTCAGTCTTAGCACAGACTTACTGTAGCTTCTTACTTCAGGAAGCCCTTCATCTCAGTATTGGAAAGAAGTGGCTGAAGAAAGGAGGAAGGCTCTGTATGAAGTGCTTCAAGAAAATGAAAAGGTAGCTAGTGAAAGATAACTAACCTCTTTACCACTGGCTATTGTCTTCCCGTTTTAACATTTTGTTATTTGAACTCAGCTGCACAAAGAAATTGAACAGAAAGATGGTGAAATTGCCCGCCTAAAAGAAGAAAATGAAGAGCTAATGTCCCTCGCTGAACATGTCCATTATATGACCAGCATGATTGAGGTACTTAGGGGAATTTTCAGTTAATGTTGTAGAATGAAAAAGTGAGAAACCATCAAAGATACTTTTAATGAATCATGACTTCTGTGTACTTGCAACTCCTCCTTTTGAATTACTGCCCTGTTTCCTGTGGGATTGCTCTAATCCTGAGGCATAGTGCCACTTCTAGAGGATGAGTTTTTTCCACTTTAGAACCCACAGGAGTATTGAGAAAATACTAAGAGCAATGGTTCTCTGAAGGGGAGATTCAGCCTTTTGTCCTAACAGAATAGGACTTGCTTGTTAGACATGGGGGTGTGGGAAGAAAGGGTTCATTTTAACTTTTCTGAGATTACTTAATTTCAAATGCTTAATAGGTTGGTTGAGGCTGCTGGCTAAATGAAGTGTTTGTACTGGCTGTGTCCTTTGAAGAACTGAGCTTGAAACAAGGACACACAAAATAGAGCAGTGGGAGGGAGAAGAGAGCACCTATGCTCTTTAAAGTCAAGGCTTCACGGTTTCATGGCCCAAAAAGGGCTAATGTGCAAAGTCTGCAGGGTTCATAAACTTGTAAATTTCCAAACACCTTCCTCTGAGAAATCCCTGGGGATGGGTAGTTGTGTCACTGATTCCATGACTCTTCTACCAGGAGTAGCTTGTCTGTAACAGCCTCTAAAGCTGTGATAAATATGTAACCATGGAACCTTGATATGGAAATTGACAGCTAGGTTGTTTTTGTTGGGATTGAGCTCTCAACTGGGATATGAAGCTGGGTGCCTGGCAAGTATGTTGATTCTCTGATTAGACTGGGGAGTTTCAAACAAATGGAATATTATTGCAAGCAACTTGATTAATCTTAAGTAAATTTGATGAAATTAATTTTCAGTTACTGCAATTATTTATATCAGTCTTGAAAGGCTCTACTAATTTGCTACACTTGAATTTTCTTTGTATTCAAGGAGTGTTGCTTGTTACTGATAAACCCACAGGCAGAAATTAAATTACTGAAGGACTTGAACTAATGTAGTTGGAAATTTCTCTGCAGTTCCTCAACAGTTAAGTTCACTTACTAGTTGTAAGCTGCTCACTTCTGAGGCTTTAATGAGCCGTAAGTGATACATCAGACAATCAGAAGCCTCCAGCAGCCTCTCAGTCCTGTTTTTCTTCCTTAGATCAGGTTAGGTGAGGAACTTGTGGTTTGATCAAGTGCTAGAGACTGCAGTGTCTTCTAGTTCATCTAGACTTAATGTAGCTTCATTATCTCTGCTTAAAAATCATGAACTTAATCTGTTGTATACTCATTTTTCTAAAATTAAACCTACATAGTACTCCAGTAATATTTAGCTTGGGAAGCTGTTTCCCATATTTTAGGTTGCCTAAGATAAAACCTGTTCTACTGAAGAACCTAAGGAAGATTTAACAGTCAACAAAGCAGATGTGGTCTGTGAGTTAGAGGTAGCAATCTGAGTTGAACTCAAGTGTCTAAAGTTTTTTATGACTGAGGAATGTTTTAATGACATCAATGATCTCAAAATGAAGATAATTTGTTTGCCTAATTCAATATGCACTGTCTTATTTCACTGGCTATTAATAGAAAAAGTACGAAGTTCATTGTCTTCTGTTTCTTTCTAGAGGCTAACTGGACAAGCACCTGACAATCTTGAGACACTGAAGAGTCTGGCTCTAGAGGAATCCAAACAAGAAAATGAAGAGCTTAACTGTGGAGATGATGCAGACAGCACTTCTGAAGAAGGGCCATCACAAGTATGTTGCTTAAGGGAGAGCATATCAGATTTTGCTTCAAAGGAAGCAAATAATTTGCAACTGGAATGACAACTTTTAAACAGGCTTATATATGTGGCTTTTAATTGCAGGCTTCCTCTTGAAAGGGTACACTAAAACTTCTCAGGTACAGAAGCTCTTGTGGAAGTATTACAGGTGTTGGTTTTTAACTGGAATTACGTAGCAGTGGGAGCATCTGGATACTGCATAGAAAACTTACTACAGGCTGCACTTAGTCGCTTGTATAAAATGCAAATACTGTGTATTTCAAACTGTTGTGTAAATATCAGTTAGTCTGAGGTGATACATGAGAATTGATAATAAATCTTTGCCTTACCAAAACAGCCTCTTATTTGAGTGGGGAATGGCTAGTTCTACATGTAAGTCAATTCTGACTACTGTAGATAGAAGCTTTCAAGTTTTTTAGGGAGTGCCTGGTCAGTTTTTTACTCTTTAGAGTTCCAGAATTCTGGAGAACAGAATGGTTTTGGTGGATAGGGAAAGTAAAATAAAATGTGTGCTTTGTGAGGCTTCAGAAAGCCAATAATGGATAGTGAGAGTCATGATCTAAAGTTTAGTTAGACTTATGCTTTTCAGGGTTTTTAAAATAATTGCCTCTGTCTTTTAAGGGAGTATTTTCCAAGATGTACAGATGAGAGCTTAAGTAGAAAGTATTAGACAGTCTCTTTTAGAAGTACTTCCATTGGCTTATGATGAAAAGGTGGGGTTTCTTGCTCCTAACAGCAGCTGTACTGAAAATTAGATGGAGACAAAGCAGCCTACACTTCAGAGCTATTCAGAAAGGAATCTTGATGTCTGTTTTCAAAGTACTGCTCTGGTATTTACTGAGAGATGAGGCACCTTTTTACCAGGATAGCAGTGTTCTGAAGGGTTTACAGGAATAAAAAGCAGTTTTTAAAACTTGGAGCACCTTATCTGGCATCCATCTGGAGGGCAAAAATGCTCGCAGTTGAAAGCGCTGAGGTAGAAGGGGAGAGTAAGTTGAATACAGGTTTTCCAGTCCTGAGTGAACTCAGCAGTTGTTCTGTAAGGTATTCTAGGGACAGGCTTTAAACGATGGTGGCCATTGCAGTATCTTATGAAGAACTTGAAGCTGAGTGGCTTTTGGAAGCAGAGATAATAAGATTCTGGCTTATGAATCTATCAGGCATTGTCAAATTGGCACTTCAGCCTATGTGTGAACACACCTGTGGAGCTAGCAGATTGGCACCTTTAGAGTCCTTCCATATCTTATTTGCTCCCTCTGGATGTCAGTAAGTTTATTAATAAACGTTTCACAACTGATTTAAGCTATGATGTTCAGGGAATGTCAGAACCGTTGTAGGAAGTAATATTCTTTCTGGCTTCCATTTCGCCTTGAATCTGGTAACCACAAGGTGAAGAGTCATTATTTTCCTAGGAACTTTTGTAGACTCAAGATTACACCTTCTAATTTGTGCTCTAGAGGGTACTTAGACATAATTCTTTCCATCACAGTGCAGAAATGGTGACAAAGGTGTGTGTCCTTTAACTTGCACTGATGCTGTGTTCGAGAGGAAGAAAAAACTGGATGCTGGATAACTGCTTTGTAGAGTAACCTTGGTTTTCTGTTCAAAAGAAAGATAATGCTGTGAAGTGATTTAAACCTCTCCTATCTTAGATTCTAAGCAGTTTTCATGTCAAAGTAGTTCCTCAACAATAATATGTGAGGAAACATAAATTTTAACTTGTCATAGTCTTTATGTACTGCCATTTGGTTTAAGTTATTCTTAGTTAACAGTCACTCTTTAGAGGTGGCTTTATTTTTAAACATCAGGAATATTTTGCATTTGCAGCGACTGTATAAGGGGAGAAAGCACTGTTGTATAATTAGCTGTCCAGGCAGACCAGTCCAACAGACAGCAAGCGCAACTTCTTTCCCACCATTTCACCTCCTGCTCTGTGAACTTCTGTAATACAGGTGCTGTTCTTAGAACAAAGAACTGCCAGAAAGTAACAAATCCAGAATTTGCATGCATTATCTGCAACTGGCTCTTGGTATTTTCATCAAGATGGTCAAGAAGAATGGGTATTAGATTTAAATATTGTGCTTTGCCTTGATTGATTTTATTTAAATAACAAAGACAAGGCAGTCCCTTGAGTAGCTGGATCCTTACTTCTGTTGAAATGGATTGTGTACAAAATAAATTGTGCAAGTTCTTCATGTAGGCTGATGTGTGTGTTGCAGCATTTGGCCCACCTCTGTAACAGAAGAACTTTCTACAGCAAAAAGACCTGGGCCCCTTACTAATACATACACTGGCACCAGAAGCCTTCAAACCAAGGCTACTGTGGTTTTAACAACTTTATTTTGTTAGCAGTGAATAGTTTACTGCATAAACTCTTCAAAAAACACGCTGTAGGAGAACACAAGGTATGAGAGCTGAATTAAGGCATAGGAATAACACATACTGTCACAGATGTATTGGATCTTCATCAGATAATCTTCCTTTGCCTACCAGATCAGAAATGTATGAAAGTGTTGTCAGAAGTTTTGTGATGCTGCATTAATCGCTGTTTAAAAATGTTCTAAAATGGTCACATTTCATTTACTGTCCTGAAAATTCCTGAGTATTAAAACATGCATGTGGTGGAAGTATCTTGTATATTAAGAACTTTTGTATGCATGTATGAAAGGCTTTCAAATATGTAGAAATGATAGATTTGTGTTACTAGTTCTTCTACAACCATCTGACCTTTTATTTTTGTTTAAGTATATGGGGAAAACCTCCTTTACCACTGAAAATCAACACCACTAAAGACAAAGAAATTTCATATCCAGCTATATTACAGGGAACACTGTCTATCAGAATAAAATTATCAGTTCTGAAACCTGGCTGCAGAATGTTTCTTTCCAAGAAGTCATAAATACTTTTGTGCGCTGGCTGGATCAGCATGCTTGCTCCTTTTCATTGCAGAGGCTGTGGCCCCAATCTCATCTTTCACTGGAATATCCTAAGGCTGCTCAGAAGTGTGATACATCTACTGCATCCTAGCACTTCTCCTGTCAAATGTTCATGTCCCAACAGGACAGAACTTCAGATATGTAAGACTTAAAGCGTTGGGAGACAGGCTAGCTGTGGGTGTCAAGTTTCAAGAAGGAACAGGGACTAGCAGAGGCAAGCAAACTGTGGGGAGGGTGGATAGTTTGTGGAGGAAGAACTTTTAATTGGTTTAGCAAAAATAACAAATTTAGGGTAAACACTCATTGTGTTTAAGACAATGTGTGGAGCAGTGAATTAGACTATAGTAACTACTTGGCTGAGTAACTTAAACTTCCTTGTTGTTTGGCATTGTGTTGCTTACGTGAGGGGCTACAGCATTGTCATGTGTTGCAGCTTGTTTGCAGCCTAAGTAACAAAGTTGGTCATAGATTTTTGCAAGGAAAAGGGTTGTTTTCTTTTCAGAATGGGATTTGAGATTTTGAGCAGAAGGTTTGTAAATCTGCCAAGGCTGTGTTTCAATTGCTCTGTTGTTCTTCAGACTGAATTGTGTTGTTATCAACATTTTATTCAGCAGGCAATGTTTATTGTGTGTTCTTTCCATTCTTGCAATAACACAAAGTAGTTCAGCAAATGATAATGGTGTTCTAAGAAAATTTAATTTGCTGCTGCTTTGTCAATCTGCCAGCAACTGGCTGTGATGAAATGTGTTCACCTGTGTTCAAGGTCAAACCCTTGGGTATGACACACCTCTGTACCCTTAGAGGCATCACAGCCGTTTGGGGAGGGGGGCTGTTGTGGATGCTATCATCAGGACAATTCCATTGCAAGTCAGCGAAGCAGGAGTCCATACTTAAGCAGTCTGGCAGTCCTATTGACTCCTAGTTTTGAATGCTTAAAGTCAGTAGTAATCAGTATATAACAGACTGCAGCATAGGGTAAAGCTATAGCAGACAGCGTTTCTGAAGGTATGCTGGGTATGGGAGGAGTCTTACTGATAGCTGCATGAAACTCTGGGCAGCCTGACATAAGCTGCTGCTGTAGCTAGAGTACAATAGAAGTGCTACAGGTTTATATCTCCCGGGCAGAATGCAGAGAGATAAGTGTGCTGGGGTAGTGAATGATGAAACACAAGAGATAAGAATAAGCCACCAACAAAATCCTCAGGCAGACCCCTTTCCTGGGCGCAGTTTTCCTGGTGAGCTCCCCATGTCTTCAGTCTGCACTGCTGCCACGTTATTTTGGTACAGGAACTTTTTCCAAAGATACTTTTCTAGAGTGGCACAGACCTTTAAATTCGTTTGAGTCAACCTGCTGCAGCTGTTATAAACAGGGTTTTACAATCGCTGCCTGCTGGTTCCTTTGCTAGTCGGTAAGCATCTGTCTTGTTACATTCACCTCTATGCATCTGTGTTTTCCTGCTCTACAAAGAAGTGCTCTTGCATGAATGTGGTAGGAAATGGCAGCATTGTCAGCTCTGGGAACATAATGTTTAAGTTATGAGACAAATATGTGGTTTGGTGCTTTTTATTTGCCTTCTGGTTTTGGAAGCTTTAAGGTTTGTTTACTTTTTCAAGGGTTTGTTACCCTGAGGGCAGAAACTTACAGGATTTTGTTTAGTTTTGTTCTTAAATTGAATGTGATTTTTTTAATGTAATGAACCATGTTAGGGTGTGATTCTCTGTTTTATTAATTTTTCTAAAACACTATTAATGCTCAAAGTGAAATTTAGCCTCTATACATCTGTATCCTAGGGTCAAGCTTTTCAGTCTTGGATACCACAACAGGAACTAAATTTGGTCTAACTGTTCACACTAGAATTCCTGTGAATTTCCTTGTTGACTTTGGGAGCAGAATTTGCTCCTGTCTGGTTTGTATGACCTGTATACATGGTTTTTAATGGTTACAGTGGTGTAGCAGATCAGTCTTAGGGTAATAAACTTCTCGAAGGGTAGATATAAGTAGATATAAGCTCCATTTGACATGGTACCTATATTTGTGAGGAGTCCTGTGCTCTCTGCAGCTTTGGCTTTCTGCAGTTCTGTGTTCCCCACATCTGTGCTGTTAAGTCTGAATGTTGGTAAGAGGAAAAGGAGCGTCTTCCGTTTGATGCAAGTGTGTCTTCACAGAAGGGAAGAAGTAACGGGCAGAAGTTTGGTAACAGTCCTGGAGCCTCTTCAGCGTATTTTCTGCTAGTCCTTGCGGAGCCTTTCTTGGTAAGTGCCTTCAATGATGCACAAAGCTGTTTTGTTCCAAACTTAAACTAGGAGTAGCTGGAAATGCAGGGTACTAGTGCTTGCTTGAAAGTAAACTCATCTCACTGGTTCCTAAGCAACAGTTCAGAATGTTGCACTTGCAAGCCAATGCCATCATAGCCTTTGCTTTAACAAAATTGTGTTCTGTTCTGTGATATGCAAACTACAAGCAAGCTTTTGACAGAAATGGGAATATAAGGATGTTCTCATTTTCTTTTTAAAATGCCTCTTGCTGATGCTCTGGGATGGGAGCAAGGGTGTGCGCACACACTTTGGAGCAATCGGAGAAAGAACACTGAGGGGGTCACAGTTGTCTCCTTGCTTCCAAAATAGCATTTAGTTTAAAGTGGCTTTTTAAAAATATTCCTTGGCTCACCTCATGGAGGTACCACTAAGAGTGTCTGCTTTCACTGTAGTTTCATTCCTTCTCTATTTTTCCTTTTTACTTTTGTGGTTTGTGTGTTTATTTTGATTACTAAAATAGCATGCCCCTTACACCAGCAGAAAGATGAAAATGCAGAAGTTGTGCGTAGTAAAACACAAGCTAGTACGCATCATTTGTCCCCTTGCACAAGAAGCTGCAGTTCTCTGCCCACCCTCAGGCAGTAGTCCTTGCTACCAGTATTGTTCACTTGCTCTAATTTAAATATTTTTGTAAGATCTTAATGTTCTTTTAACAAATTTCATATAGTAAATTATTTCTATATACATAATACATAATTTAGCTAAAATTTTTGAGATTGTTGTAAAGTCTTGTCCTGATGACCAAGCTTGAAAAGACAAATATTACCTACAAGCCTTTTCCCCTAATATGAATAAAAACAACTCCCTAATGCTTTGCCCCAAATCCAGCTGCAGGCAGATGTCTTGTACTATGCTGCTTATGGTATGGGGAGCTGACCTGCATGATGTTTGAAGGTTGTACGAACCTCACGGTGGAGAGGCTGCTGATAGAGTGACTATGCATATGGACTAGTGTGCTTAGTAATTTAAAAATAATCTTTATTATAACTTAAATGTGATAGGAAATATGGTGAGTACAAATGCCACAAAACTAAAAGCAAAAAATAAAAATTAAAAAAAAAGTCTTGGTACAAAAGGACACCTTGGAAGAATTCAGATGATGGAATAGGCATGGTATATAAACCATAACATGGTTATTTCACCTTCTGCAAAAAGAATCTATATCCCTCAGTAAACAAGTAAGCATTTTGAACTGTACAAAATGTACTTTTTTAATTAAAGGAAGAATATATATTTATAAATATACAGATATGTACATTGTTGCAACATTCACAGTAAAAAAAAAAAAAAAAAACAACCAAACAAAAAACCAACAAACCAAAACAAAACCCCTGCAGGCCAATATGTTTGGTGCTTGAGGCTTCTTTTTGATGTGAATTGTTTGCAATATTTTCTATGTAGTATATGCAAATTTGCATACTTTTAATTGACATCTAAATAGCATTTCATGCACAATGAACACAGTACAGGAACACTCTTCTGTTAAATTCTATTCACCTCCTCTGTTAACTTAAGGCTCATAATCAACAGCTTGAAGCACTTGCTTTCATCCTTGCAGTGAGGGGGGGAGCGCATTCACTTCATTACTGCCTCTGAGGTCCACTTTCATTTGTTCTAGTTCTTTATATTGAAATCACTCTATAGAAGCTATGATCCACTAATTACGGTGTATAAAATCCAATCCTCCCTACAACTTACAGGACAAAATGGCTTTGGGGACTTGTGCAATTAGCTGCATTCACTTCTTCTTCTTGGAATAAATAAGTGTGCTCTAGCTTTTCCTTTAGTATTTGAAAACCTACATGATTGCTTGATCCCCCTCACAAATTTCTGGATTAATGATGGCTTGTTGCTGGAGGGAAAAAGAAAGGAAATAAAAGACCAGTGGAGGCATTTAGAATGAGTCGCCAAAGTGACACCTCCCAGGGTTTACATCATGCTGTTTCTGGAGGCAAAACTTGAAGACTTGCTCTATATTTCATTACTGAGACCAAACTGAGAAGGCTGAGAGGTGTTCCCTGCTGCTGGAGTGTTGCTGGGGACGCTGCATGGAAGCAGATGCTTAGCTTGCAGTTGAAGAGAAAGCTTCTTTGCAGTCCTGCTCAGGTGGCCTCCTACTTGTCCTTGTTAGATATAGTATTGCGTGTCTCAAGCTTTCACAACAACTTCAAGGAAGTAAATAATACTTGGTAACATATATGAAGATGGCAAATTCTAAAAACTCACAGAAGTTTGTTGAGGCTGAATAACTGCAATTACATTATTTGTTATGAATCAGTCAAAGTATTGCTCCTCAATATCCAACTGTTCCATCATGAGCTGCAAAGGGGAGCCAATAGGAACTCTTAAGCTGGATTTTAGATTTTGCTTTTCCTTAAAAAGTCTGTAAATTGCTACATTTTGGGACATTCTCATAGAATTCTTCAAGGTCTCCCTTCTGCTCCCCACGCTGAAGTGCAGCTCCATTCTACTTCAATGACTGTTAAATGTAGGCAGGTTCTTTTCCACCTAAAAAGCTGTGGCAGCTTCAGTTCCACGGCGGTTTCCAACTTTAACAAATTCCCGGGGAAATTTGTCTAGCTGTTCGTATGCCAGTCTCCCATCTTCACCTGAATGCAGAATGTTAAAGCATAATAATGTATTATAGCATTGCCCTGCAACACTTAAAATACTGAATTTGCTGCTGTTAGAAAGTGCTGATCTGCCTGTAACTTCTTCCCTTTCTTAAAACTTATCTTGTTGAAGGCAACGTCAGAAATTACGTGGGAAAAAATAAGTGTTCTCTGAATGTTCGCATTATTTTATTTTTCATTTTCTCATGTAATTTGCTGGTTTTATCTACAGCAAACAGAAGCAGACGTGGCTCCTATGATTCAATGACAGTATCTGTACGCTTGTCTTACTAAGTGACCTGTGGTGCTTGTCAAGGTCTCAGCTGCAGCTGTGATATACTTGAGGCAGATGATGTTTATCTGCTTCTGCTTTGGACAATATAAAGTTTACCCACTTCTCACTTCCTGGCACCTTAAGTAAAGATGTGTCTAGATTCACTTCTTTATGTACTGCCATAAAAGAGGAAGCAAGATATTTGCTAAATTTAATTATTTGTGTCTCTTAAACCTTTTTCTCTTCGGTACTGTCAGCTGTATGCACCTAAAGATAGCACTGAGTCTAGTGTGTTGAATTGACCATTAGGAGCAAAAGTGGTTTCCATATGTCGTCTAGAAGAATGGCAGTACAGTCTCCCAGAGTTTACAAAAGTGGCCCTGGACTATCTGGTTTATAACCCAAGCAAGAACACATCCAACAGCAGAGTGAATTCTTGCTGAACTGGTGAATGAAAGAGAGCATGTTTGAAGAGCCTGCATAACTAAAATCAGAGATGGACACAAACCCCAGTGCCAATGGAGCAGAAATTCATGCTTAGCCGAAAGGCCCGAAAAATACAATTTTTCAGTGCCACTGAAGTACCGGGGCCCTGAAACTGTGCAGCCACACTTGCAGTCACACACTGCTACACAGCCAGATTACAGGTAACTGAACGGGGTATCTGTTGTCTCAAGGACAAATGAAGGTCAATGCAAGGTGCCTGAAGTGCTGTATGAAGGAGCACTTGCAGGCTAGGGTCTGTCCAAATAAGCATATAAAGATAATTTAGATTAAATGAACACTTGGCAGTGCTAATGGCACTTGCGAGTGTGACAGTGGCACTACAGGGCTTATAGGAGGGGATCCCCAAGAGGTGGGCATATGATACACAGCAGGCAGTGTGCTGGTCCTGCTTCCTCAGGGCTGCTTGGTTTTCAAATTCATTATAAATTATTTCTGTTTGTCAACTTATCCTTTGCTATTTTTCCTTTTCTACTTCCCCCTCCAGGCTCACACAATTCAATTGCTCTCTTTCTGGCCCATTTTAATGATTTTCAAAATGAATTATTTCTAAGAATATATATTTTCTAACCTGTTTGAGTCTCTAGGTTGTGTTTTGATTTAGTGTCTCACATTTGTATAACTCAGATGTCTTACATGGTGCTCTGTTAAAAAAGAAAATGAAATACTGCTCTAAAACAGGCTCTTCTCTGTGACATCCAGTGATAGGACAAGGGGCAATGGGTTCAAGCTGGAACATAGGAGGTTCCACTTGAATAGGAGAAAAAAATACGGTAAGGGTGACAGAGCACTGGAACAAGCTGCCCAGAGAGGTTGTGGAGTCTCCTTCTCTGGAGACATTCAAAGCCCACCTGGATGTGTTCCTGTGTGATCTGATCTAGGTGTTCCTGCTCCGGCAGGGGGATTGGACTAGATGATCTTTCGAGGTCCCTTCCACTCTCTAACATTCTGTGACTCTGTGAACTCACCAAGTGAGAGCAGGGTTTCAGATGCCACTTTTCTGATCTCTTCGTTGTCAGACTGGCAGAGTGTGACCAGCATTTTAATGCTCTCAGTAGCCTGGAAAGTGCAAAAAGAAGCACATTAGCACCACATGCTCTGGTTTTGTTTCACAACCTTATGTGGAAATGGTGACCATCCTCTGCATTGTCCTTCCTACTCCAGGGCAAGGGCCTTGATAGGGACACGGGGAACGGGATTTCCCTGAGGGGCAGCATCTAGAAGGAGGCATATTTTCTGCTGTCAGTGTGGACCTTTTCTGATTTTCCTACCCTATGTGCGTAAATCTGGCTGACCAGCTCTGTCTGCCACTTCTGACTGTAGGCTGGGTCATGGGCCATAGGACAAGGCCATAGAAGTCCCAAGGTAAGGGTATGGCAGGGAGACAAACAGGAGACAGGTGTCAAGGGAATGAGCATGTCAGACCTGGTAGGTCTGAGAAGGCTGTTCTCACCTAACTGCATCAACAGGGGCATGTTGGCTGGCCAGCCCACGCGCTGCACTGCAGGCTCCTCAGCGACGCCTGTACTCACCAACATTGACATGTTTTTGCCTTTTGGAAGAAAGCAAGGAATAATCCTGGTCTCTGTTATAAAAATGTCAGGCCTTTGGGGAGAACAGCCACCGTTGTGTCTCTGGCAGGCTATTTAATATGATGAGAGAGATGAGTGAAAGAAGGGCAGGTACTGCCCCAGGCGTGACACCGGAGATGCACTGAGCCACGGAGTCGGTATTTGTATGAGCCCTGTCGATCTGAGGGGCACAGGTCTGGTCTACAATGCTCTGAATGAGGGCTGTGCTACCACAGACATTACATCTCACCAGCCTGTCTTCAACGTGGCCACTTGGTCTTGACTTGGGGCAAGTCTGTGCTGGGTGCATACTGGTGACTACAACTCGACTGCTTATGAGCGATGGGGCCACAGCAACGCAGAGTTGGCTGCGATCTGCAAAACCTCTCGGGGACTCACAGTGGGACCTTGTGCAGCCAGTGTGGTTTGACGTCGATGAGACTGCCATTGGGCTAGCTCATCCACAGTCACCTATGCATTGTAGCATTCCCATCTCTGAAATAATATCTTCCAGAAAGGCTTCAGCTTTTTCTTTGAAGATCCCAAATGGGGATACTTCCCCCCAGTGTTTTTCTTTTTCCCAAGCAATTGCCATTCTCACTACTCAGGATGTACTGGAGCCACACTACTCAAGTTAAATGGGTCTAGCTCCAGTTCCCACCACCAGTTCCTAATCTGCCTTTTCCTGAGAGATCAAAAATCCCACCCCGCCCTGCATGCAGCAGAGGTGTAATGCCCCTCACCATTGCCTCTCAGGGATGCCTGCTAGCATCTCACTTAAGGGAAAAGTTTTTTTGTTTTTAAACAATATTGGATTATGTGTTGGATGGTATCAGTTCTGGCTGCGATGAAGTTACATTTTAGACCTGTGTTCTCCAGGGGACAGTTTTGAGGGAGAAACAGTCAGTCTGCAATGGGTTTGTCTCACGGAACACGTTTTTTGCCCCAGTGTCCCAGATCAGTTGGGCTTGGGCAACTGCTGCTTCCCATGGCTCTGTACAGCCAAAACAAAAGTGCATTTTTCCTTCTCATCATGGGACGAAATGCAGAAATGCTACCAGATGCTAGCTGAAGATGTACCAGTTATTTGTCACAAAATGAGCTGTGACCTGTCTCTCCGTTTCTCTTCTACTGCTGCAATTCACTTGCATTAAAAATAATTTTATCCTGGGAAAGGATGGGGCTTTTTCCCCTCTCAATCAGTACTCTATAGCTGAATACTTTTTTTTCTCTGCGATGTGGAAGTAACTCTCCTAAAGTCAATATGAGAGGGAGGAAAAGATGATATGCAAAAGATAAACTTTGTCATCGTTGCAGAACCCAGCTGTTTTTGCTGTGAAGCTTCTAAACCGTTCCCAAACAGCATGGTATCTGCAAAAGGACACAGTGCAGCAATGCAAAACAAAAATACTACTGCTGCTGCTATTGCAGTTTCCCCAGTACCCTTGTTGGTACCTATCAGATGTCCTTTCTTTAAAGTACAGCCGAGTGTCACAGTGAATTCTTTGTCTCTTACCTTGAGGTATCTTAGAGCCAAGCAAGCTGCTTTCTGCAGCTGGAGGTTGGGCTGGGTTAGTGCTTCACAGTAATAAATCAAAGCCTGAAAACAGATAAAGAGATTAGCAATGAAAATGTCTGTGCCTGTGTGGAGCACAAGGGTGGAGTGTGGAGGCATTGCTGCCTTACTAAAGGGAGAGGGATTGCAGCCTGCCTCCCTGACAGCAAACACGTGGGATGGAGAGGCACAGCCCCTGCTACAGGTAACGTGGTGAGATGATTCCCTATGGCAGATCCAGGTCAGGCCACTAGTTATAGCTTAGTAACCTGAGGTCAGCTTTTGATGAGGAAAAGTTCACATTAAAGTGAGAAGCACAATCTGGCACCCTTGAGGGCCTTTCTGCATAAGTCGCCAAAGAGCTTTAACTGGGCCTTGGAGTCTAAATAGCTCACAATCTGACCCTTGAGATGGTCTCTCTTCTGCAGGCGTAGTAATGCATGGGCTGCAATGGACCTCAGGGAAACTGCAAGGAACTATTACAAGGTTAGCATGTGCTGCTCAACCAGTTTACTGCTTGGTCCTAGAAATTAGTAGCTACTGCTGAACAAACCAAACCAGTGTGAACCGCAAATGTCGGTGGCAGTTGGCTGCACAATGGAGTCATCTGCAGCATAATGTGGCACAATGCCCTCATACAAGGCACCTTGTGGTCCTTCCTGCAGGCAGTGAACCAGGTATCAGCTACACACGCCTATTCCAGGAGAAGGTTTTTTTTTTCCCTGAGATGCTGCCTCCATGAAGCTGGGGAGGGAGAAGGATTGTATGAGACACCAAGAGGCTGCAAAAATTAAAGATGAAGCAGGAGGGCAAGCAAAGAGGGAACTCAATTGACAGAGAAGAGCAGCAAAGAGTGAGCTCCTTTTTCTCCTTCCTCTGCCTTCCTTCTGCCTCTCCGCCTTTTCTTTTACTCTCTCCTGACAGGGGACAAGAAGGATAGAAAAAAATGTGATGAAATGGTAGAACCTGACCCCTAATTTATTCTTATTTCTCTTCTACCTTCTCTCTGATTTCTGTGTTTAATTTTGCCTTCAGTGTCTGTGATAGACTCAGATCTCACAGTTGAGCTGAGTTCACCCGAGGCAGTCCATTCCCTCCAGAAATGGTGGGAGGTCCCATAGATGACAGCCTCCCTTGGGAAAAAAAAAAAAAAAAAAAAAAGAAATCTCAAACCTACATCTTTGTGTATTGATGATGCTGGGGACTGTTGCCCTGAAGCCTTGGACTGAAGCCAAGTCTGAGACAGGCCAGCAGAAATGCTGAAATGTGGAAGACAGCTGAAGAGCACAGCACTCAGCAAGTATTTGTGGAGTTTCGGTTAGTACCTGTTTGGTGTAATGACAGGTAGAAGCAGACTGGCATAAGGACAGAAACAGACCTGGATATTTGCAGAAGAATTAGACAGGCAATCCCCCTGGACCAGTTTAAATCAAGCTTGGAGCACTTATTTTATACACATTGACATTCGAGACATAGACAGAAAAAAATGTAATGATGATACAGGTGTCTTACGTGATAGGCGATTTTCTGCCACTTACCTTCTCCCTGAAGTGCCTGTTTTCTGCAGTAGCTGTCAGAAGTGATGCCACAGTCTCACTGACTTCATTTTTATTTTCATTGAGAAGTAAAGCCAAAGCTCTCAAAACTTCTTGCTGTGGTGGAAGGTTATTGGAGTTTATTTTGGCCACATTTTGCTGGAGTTTTCCATCTTTCACTGACTGCAGCACCTGAACCACAGAGGCTAGACGTGCAAGAAGGTCCTTGTTACTTACTTCGTCCTCTCTATAGTTCAGATTGCTCCTTTCCCTGCTAGCGATCCTCATTTTTTTGCTATACTCACAAAGGACACGAAAAATCCCCATCTGAGCAATTCCCATGGATCCATACTGCAATGTGTCTGCATGGGGAATTGTCTGGGCTTTAAGTTGGGCTGGTTTCTCAGACATTCTTCCAAAGAAGGAGATGAGTAGATGGGCTAGGTGGGACACTGCAGCACTTGCATCTACCCAGAGCTACGGGCCTACCTGTCAAATCTTAATTTTTTGTTGGAAGATGTAAATCCTCACTATAACAAGTGAAACCCAATATTGTCAGTGTATTGACTTCCACAACATCTTTATGAGAGCTTTTCCTAGGCAGATAGAATCACAGAATCATAGAATGGTTTGGGTTGGAAGGGACCTTAGAGACTATCGAGTTCCAACCCCCCTGCCATGGGCAGGGACCTCTCCACTAGACCAGGTTGCTCAAAGCCCCATCCAGCCTGGCCTTGAACACCTCCAGGATGGGGCATCCACAACTTCTCTGGGCAACCTGTTCCAGTGCCTCACCACCCTCACAGTAAAAAATTTCTTCCTAATATCTAATCTAAATCTGCCCTCTTCCAGTTTAAATCCATTACCCCTTGTCCTGTCGCTACATACATACATACATACAGATTGATGTCTGACGCTAAGAGCCGCAGCTGATGTGTTTCAGAAGTGGGCTGAAATGCCTTTTTCCTTCCAGGTTTTTGAGCAAAACTCCCCAGTATGCCCAAATTAAAATGAAAACTAGGCAAGGTTCCTCAAAATCTCTCTCAAATAGAAAAGAAGAAAACTTGGCTTGCCAGGGATTGCAGTCTAGCAGTCTCTGTGAAGCATCTGCTTCTCTCTTTAGCTCTCGGTGGCAGATCCTGCCAAACAGTGAGGTGCTGTGATCCCTTGGCCCTTGAGGAGAGCTCAGCACTTCAGAAGGTCTCTCCATAAAGAATGGTGAAAGACTGGAACATCATCCAAGCTGTGGGCACAGAAAACTTCCCAGTCTTTGGGCCCAGCCCACCACCATCAGCCATTTCCTAAAAACTAACTTTTTCAACAGTTTTTTCCCATTCAAATATGGAAACAGAAATGACTGAGGGTCTATTGGCATCAGCTGCTTTCCTTTGATAGGTACAACTGTTCAAGTGCATTCATACTTAGTATTCAAGGCCCTTCTTTGTCTCCTTTCCCCCTTCTATTGTAAAATCAGCCTCAGAGCTGAACTGTTTTGTGCTGAGCTCAGAAGGACACTGATGTACTCCCCCATTAGCCACCAGAATTTATATACCCTACCTTCTTTTGCGAGCTGCAGCAGATAGCTTCCAAGGTCATTAACACTGTGGCTGGCAAAATAGTTGTAATACTGAAAGACAGTAATGATCTCAGAGGACATGCTGGAGTAGAGGACGGGCTCTGTCCGGTCCAGGATCTGAGACACCAGGATCCTGAAGACTGCAGGCAGCCATGGACAAAGGGATACGTTAGTGAGAGCAAAAGCTGCTGGCAAAACGCCACAGTCCACTTCAAAGCCAGAAAGAGAGAACTCTGTTTGCAAAGCCAGATAGTTCCCAACATTTTTAACTTCAGCTGTGGTTAGGTTAGAAGCTAGGTAGACTTTCTCTCTGTCTAGCTGTCATCACCAGAGGATATCTTTATAAGGATGAACCTCTGTCAGATTATGGGCGGCTAGTGCAGCTTCCTATCCAATACAGCATCCTTTCTACCCAAATAGTATCCTGAATCACTAAACACATATCCGCATGCACAGCCAGTTTCATCTCTGCAATGCCACTGAAATAGGGGAGATGTGCACAGAAGCAGCTTGGCTTTTCTTGTTTTTACGTTCCTCCATGAGCATGTGGCATGCAGGAAGCTCATTTGAGGCACTGTCTGTGAGAGCTGTAACACAGAGCAGGAAGCAAAACACTGCCCTGGGTAGGCATCTGCAATGCAGGTGCCCACATCTGAGCAAGTCACCCTACAGCCCCATTCTAGCCCAGGGAGAGCTAGTCAGTGTGGTATATCTCAATCCAAATAGGAACCTATATTCATACAGACTCACTTGGGTGCATATTAATTCCATCCCAGTAAACTGTAATGGGGCATGGACATTATACAGATACATAAAATAAAGTGAGAGAATTCCTACTTGAGCAAATCACTTACAAACCTGTATTTGGGAATGGAATTACTTTATGATTATCTCACAAACCTTAAAACAATATTTTCTTTTCTGATGAAGAATATAACCTTTTTCTCCTAATCTGATTCTGATTCACCTTTTTATCCTATTCTGAACTGATTATTTGGGGCCAAAACTGTTTCAAGAGTTATAGCATTAGTTTTCAGATGAGATCTTGGAGCCATGGCCAAACAGACCTCCATGGGGTTGGAAAACAAAGCAATGAAGGTTGACTAAAGCCCAGTACACATCTGTTCTCCATTTTGATGACTGACACAATTTTTTTTGCAGCAGTTGGTACCTGTTTCTGCAAGTCCTGGACACTCTTCATTCACAGTGGTGGCAAAATTGATATCCAGCTGCTTCATCATCTTGTCTGCCGATGTGTGATACACTCCTGAAGGGCCAGTACACTTCATCCAGAAGGCCAGCAGTGACAGCTTCTTGTGGAATTCAGGAATTGCTGGTGGAGAAGACAAAATGAATAATGAAACAAAGCCGTGCTAGAAACATCAGCTTCCAGAAGAGAAGACAGTAAGAGTGGAGGAAATCTCACCCCAGCCCACTAATGGACAGTGACTGTTTGGTGCGTCACCCTGTGCCATTACCTTCACAGAGCATGATCATGTGCTCACCCCAAGTTTGTAACACGTTTTTTTCCACTTCCCATGGTAGGATGTGAGAAAATTTGCTCCTGTTCCAGTTTTGGGCACTGATGTCTCATCCTTTTAAATACAATGAAACACTGCAGGAATAGTGCAAATGGTCTGCACAAGACTGGCTCCTGTCCCAGCACTGCTCCGTGACCTTGGCTAAGTCACTCAGTTTTGCCTCAATCAATTTTCTGATAAACAAAGTAAATACATCGTGGTGTGTTTACTCATCCTGCCAGAGTGTTCACAAGGGAGAGTAATTAAATGTTTGTCAAACTCTTCCAAGGTATTAAAATAGATGCAACAACAAGAGTGTTATGGTTTTGTGTGGTGGGTTTGTCTGGTAGCAGGGAGGGGTCACAGGAATGGCTCCTGTAAGTAGCTGCTAAAGGTTTCCCCAGACTCCAGCTCTGCTGGCAGCAAACCAGGGGCTGCAGTGATGGCCCCTGTAAGTAACTGCTGAGAGTTCCCCCAGCTCCCAGTCTGCTCTGGCATCAAGGGAGGGGCTGCAGTGGTGGCTCCTGTAAGTGACTGCTAAGGGTTCACCCCCACCCCCGGCTCCAAGGTTTAGTAGCCAGGGGGAGGGAGGGGGAAGTGGGGGAAGGAGTACCACCGATCTAGCCCCTGTGAGAAACTACTGGAAGTTTCCCCAGCTTCAGGCTGGACCCACCCCAGGCCAGGGCTGAGCCAATTAGCACCTCTGCAAATAACATATTTAAGAGGGGGCAGTCATTACTACATTTGTCTCCAGGAGTAGCTGCTACACACACTGAAGCTCTGCTTTCCCAGGGAGTGGCCGGACCTAGCTTGCAGAGAATAACATCTTTGTTTTCCTTTTGTTCCTGTGCATGGCCTTGGCCTCTGCTTTAATTAAACTGCTTTTATCTTGACCCACAAGTTTTTCATCTTATTCTCCCCCTTTACTTTGCTGAAGGGGGAGTGATAGAGGGGCCCGGTGGGCACCTGGCATCCAGACAAGGTTAACCCACCACAAAGAGAAATAACTAAACAATTCTCCATAGAGATGAATAAAAGTAAAATGGGCAAAATGTTCAAGAAGATGCATTACGCCTCTGATAGTAAAAGGCAGATCCTGCCTTTCATCAGGAAAGAGAGGTGGAGGAAGAATTTGGCTCTTCAGAGGTGGCAGCATCTCCACCCCACCACAGCAATGAACTCTGTCCCTCTTACGCACATCAAGCAGGATAAGAAGTCCTTTCTCTTCTCACCTGCTTGTTTCTGGATACCAGAGCTGAGGATCAAATAAGGTCCCTGACCTGCTGCGTTGACTGCTGCATCTGCTGGTAACTGTGAGCTGGCCCTTACTATGGTGACATCTCCTGCAGTGATGGTGAGCTCTGCACAGTGATTATTCATCAGGCAAGCGTGCCCAAGCAAACCCTTTTCAGAAGCAAACCCCCTAACTTGTCTCTTACCATCAGTAAGGGAGGTGATGTTTCCCAGGTTCTCAGTGCTGATCTCTGCAATATTCTCCATTACAAGGATCTGCCTGGACAGCTTATCCAGGAGGTCTCTTGCCACAAACGGTGTTTTACTGGAGAACACAATTTGCTGGTGAAGACAAATGGGAAGGGAGGAAAAGGAGTCATTGAACAACAACAACAACAAAAAAACCCTTTAAAACAGTTGGCACCTGAAGAAGTGCAATGGCAAATTAATTGCCTAGAACCATGGGATCTCCTTAGCTTCAAAAGTTTTTTGTCCAGTGATATTTTATGGTCCTGGTTGATATGCATTGTTGCTTTTACCTTTAAAATCTATATCAAGATCCAGGCACTTGAGTATCCAAGCAGCTACTTGCGTAAGTAATTTCTGATTTATACACTCTGTGAAGCTAAAGGAATCTATCATCATAAGCCTTAAAGCTAGAAAAGAATATTAGTCTGATTTTTGCATAACATAGCCATGGACTTCCAAGGTATACCTGCCTGGAGGCAGACCACGGGTTGCCCTTTCCCCACTCTGTTTCAGCTCTGATCAACTACCCAGGCGCCTTTAATAATTTGGTGCTTTCCCCTCCCTACTATTCCCTGCTGCTGACATCCACATTTTTTTCAGCAGTCCATGTTAATATTGTTCATCTCAAACCTTCTCAGTGTGTGGACAGAGTTCAAGCTTGCCTCCCACAACTGCATACTTACTGTGTACTCTTGTATTTCAGCCAAAATCCTCCTTTGTTCTCCTACTTGTGAGTCAGCAGAATGTCCAGCTCAGCACTAAGGGTGCTGGAGTCAGGATCACTCTGCATTGTTTCAGAGGGAATCTAATCCTATCTAAGATGGAAGAGTTAAATAATTGCAAAGATGATGTTTGCAATGTTTTACTTCATCAGGAAAACCTGATGCCCTTGCTTGCTGGAAGTGTAAAATCACATTTTCTGTGCTTGAGCTTCGAAAAAACTCCTGTGAAAGGCAGTGCTAGTTAGTCACGAGCACAAACAGGCAACGCTGATGTCCCAAAGGGGCTGTCATGTGCTGCATTCTCTGCGTCTGTTGCAGATGATCTCTCCACCTCACATGCAGAAATTAATTTTTTGCTTTTGAACACTGCAGCCTTGTCTGTGTCTTGGTTAAACAGCGGGGCCATGGGCTTTTGTTTTACCTCTGAAGACATGGGCTACCTTAACCAGGGACCACTGTTGCTGAGGACCTCCCAGCGAAGGCAGTGGATGTTTCTAACCCAGAGCAGGGGCTACCCCGTCGTCTGCTGCTCTGCCTGTCCATCCTGCTGGGCGGCACCTGCACAGTGCCCCGTTGTTTGCACGTCAGGTCTGCTCCAAGATGGGCCAGGATGGACACGATGGAGGCTTTTCCCACTGCGGGTGAAGGGTGTCACCTTCCTGCCCCAGCATGGCGGCTGTCCTGGCCTCCCAGGAGCAGCACTGACCTTGCCGCCCTGCTCGTACCCCACGTTTCGGGCACACCGGTGCCTGCAGGAAAAATTTTAAAGGATATGCCCCAAATGAGCTGGGCCTGGTACCTGAATGAGCTGCGTGCAATACTGCAAGTGCTTAACTATGGTTATATCGAGGCTGTCGTTCCCCGTGGTGAGGGGCAGAGGGCTGCCGGCCACGCTGGTGCCCACGCCCGTGTCCTCAGTGAGAGCTTCGCTGAGGTGGCCTCTGGCTTCGGGGTGCTCTGTCCTGTAACTGGGGAGGGATGAGGGAGGTCAGTGCAGGGCTGACCACCGCCGCGGCAGACACACACACACGCTCACTCAGGGTGACAAGCAACAAGCATGGCAGAAGAGCTGAAAGCAGCCAGAAACCCCGCGATGAAGACATCATATCACCAAGGAGCAGTGCTGCCCCGGCTGGGTGCCCAAGGGCCATTCCCACCAAGGAGACAGGTCTCCCTCCACTGACTGGTTTGCCTGGAGCGATGTGATGCCCCCACCAGCAAGCCTTCTCAACCCCCAGATACTGTCGCTTGGTGGTGAGAGGTTTCGCCCATCTGCTGGTGAATCATCTCCCCAACTGCTCTGGATGAAGCACCGTGACAATTTGTGCCATCCCAAGCACCGAGCTGCTAAGAACAGCTCTGTGCTTTCAGTGTCCTCCTGCTGCCACATTTAATGCAGAAGGAAAGGAAAGCCACTGCTGGAGTAAGAGACATGATGTTTTCATATGCTGTTTTAGGCACAGTGTCTACAGCTTACTTTGCCAATTGTTTCTGTAAGAGCGTAAAGCTAGTCTCACTGTGTTTTAAATCATTATTTCCAACATTGTCTTGTTGTACAAATGGTCCTCCCTATGTTTAAATGCGAATCCCAAGGTCGGTCCCCAGATTGCAAATTTATTTGGATGCAAGTTCAGAAGTTTCAACACTTGCAGTCTTTACACTGAGTCACACACTTACACATCTCAAAATGGAAGCAGGAACCTACGCTGTCCAGGGATGAGCCAGAAAGGAAAAAATAAAATTTTAACTTTAGCTTAAAGATTTTAGATGACTTCTAAGTTAGCTTATAACTAACTTAAATTTTTGCTGCTTAAAATTAAATTTATGCTAAAGTGCCTGGTTAAAGCCTGATCCTTAAATCAACGCAGACTGAACCGAGCTCAGAGTGATAGTTTAGCAAGCAACACATTTTTCCAACTTTATCTTCCCACCAAGTCTTATTCTGGAAAGAAGATATGCAATGAGATGATGGGAGCTGTATGGTGGTTGCTTGTTTGTACTCAAAACTGTTTTAAACAGGCCACAATAAGCTGCACGAAGTATAGCTCCCTGGTTGGCAAGCGTGGGGTGCGAGGGAACCATGTTATTTTCTTTTTTCCCAGCTCTAGTGCCACTTATGTGCCTGCTGGGCATTCTGTCAGCTCCAAGAATGCAAACATGCTTTTAGGATCTAATGATTGAAACACAGCATTTTAAGGTTACACAACAATGGCAGACCATGACACAAAACACCACAGCTTTTTTTTTTTTTTTTTTTTTTTTTTTTCCCTCAGAAAGACCAAAAGTGATGAAAGAAGGGCAGGTAACACGCAGGGCCATGAACAGAGTACCAGTCATCACTCTTACATTCCAAAGGAAACCTACACCATGCTGCTTAAATCTGGCCCTGTGTTATTGTTACTGACAAGCTTAATCCACTGCAAAGACTCATTCGGCTAGAGAGAAAAGACAAAGGGAGGGGGAAAAACCACAAAGGAATTAGTAATTACATCCAAGGAAAGCCAGGTCCAAACCTATGTCAAGGAAGAGGCTCTGCCAATATTATGTCAGCTTAATTTAATTTACCCTTCTTCTTTCAAGGACAGATTGCATATATTTTAAGAGGAAAAAAGTTATCCTGGAAGCTAAAGATTTTGTATGCAGCAGCCATGGGGAACTCTCTGACCCTATAAACTCATCAAGGATTAGTCAGTCTTCCTTGAATAATGTATGCACCGGGATCCCCTGTTAGTGACAAAGAGCTAGGGTATCGGTTTGGCATAAGCACAGCTGGCAGTTACTGCAACTTACCTGTTCTTCTCAATCTCAGTATCTGAAAATACCGAGTCTGCACCTCCTCCACCATTACAAACCTCCACACCACCACCATCCTCATCATCAAAGTCAGAGGTGTTCAGGAAATCAAAGCTTTCTAAAGCACTTTCAACTGTTAGACTTAAACTGGAGGACCTGCTTCGGCTTACTGCTGGCTTGCACTGCAAAGGCAGAACGAACCAATGAAAACCCCAGATATTAGCTACTACTGAAAGAAAAGAAAAAAAAAAGGATAAAGCTTAAAACTTTCAAATTCTTCATTTTATTTTTAAAACTTCATTTTATTGTTTAATTTCAAACCTTCATATTCATAGCATATACAAACAAAGCCTAAGAACTGGAAAAACACTTACTTTCCTCCTCCCCTCCCCATCCTACCCCCTCTCCTTCCCAAAGGAAAACCCTCAAAGGCAAAATTCAGTCTGTTTTATAGAAATAAGAACTACATCTTGAATCCAAGTGATGCAGCTTTCAGAGTCCTCCAAAAGGAGAGATGACTATTAACGCACTGGAAGTTGAAAGAGGAAGGCACATTCTGTAATTGCTGTTCTAGTTACAGAAACCAATTTTTACATATGCAATGGCACGATTGGATTTATTCCAGATGTAACTCCAACAGACCTTAGCCAGGAATAAATTTGGTCCTATATCTGCAGATTTGTTCGTGGAGGACTTTGGTGGCCTTTGAAGCCATATGGCTTATCAAGGAAAAGACAAACAGGCATCAGATTCCTAGGTGGCAGAGAAAGGCAGTATTGTAACTCAGAAATTAACAGTGCTAGAGAGGGGGGAAGCCATCCTGTCTCATTGCTGGGAAGAAATGTGACTGAAGCCCTGCTGTTGCTGTAGGAAGTATCAAAGGCCCCAGTCCCATGTGGTGATGCATCCAGACGTGTCCACAGAGTTCCTTCCAGCGTCACCTTGCAGGATCAGATGTAAGCTGAGGCAACACCCATTAGTTTGTGCAATGGCTATATCACTGATATCACTATATCATTATTTGACCAGAAGCAGCCAGGAGCCACCAGTGCCACTCCACAAGCCATATCTTCCAGTCCCAGGCAGGAGCCAGGACTTTGTCTCGGTTCGTAGAAAGAAATGAATTGGCCTCTGAGTTCAGTCTCAGCACCAGCTCCTCTAGAGCTGAGGAGGCTTGGAGTTTTGCTTCCAGTTCATTTGCACACAGTATTAATGCTATAATGGTCATATGTTAGCACTTACGATGCTTGACACCTTAAACTGACCATACAGTCATCAGCTGATCAAACACCCTTCCCAACGCCTCTGTGACACAGGCAGGTGCTGTATCTCGCTTCCTCTGCAGTGTCAATGGTTTTAGCCACCATTTCTTTCAGGGCCAGTAGTGCAGCTTCTTCAGGCAAAAGCAAAAAGCAGCATGTGGGCTTCTCCTTTTCTCTGCCCGTCTGATATTGCCAAGAGAGATTTCTTCGGCCACAGCTGGATTCCAGCTCAACCTTTTTGCATGGGAAGCCCAGCACAGCTGCTGGCGATGCCGTGTTGGTCTGCAAGCTGATCAATAGGCAGCATGCAGACGTAAAGCAGACCTGGGAAAGGTGCCCTTCTCCAGTGTGCAGAAATCCTGTCTGCAAACGTCTGTCCTCTCCTTCCCCCCAATCCATGTCTGTCCCTTTGTAATTTCTGATAAAAGGAGTGTAAATAAACATTGTCCATTGTCCCTCTGCTGTTTAGATAGTTGACCTCTTTGTACAAGCTGCAGAGCAGCCACAAAATTGAAAAAATAATAGTAAAGGTAGCTTTACCTGCTTGAACCTCCTTGGAAATAGCACATGAAACAGGGGTTTCAGGCTGTCAAGAAAGCACTTAATTTGGGAAAGTACCATAGAATCATAGAATCAGAGAATCATAGAGTCATTGTACCAAAGGAAACAAAGATGTTAACAAAGTTTCTTTGTAAAAAGATAATGCTGAAGGATAAATGCTTCTCTCCTTCCTCCTCAGCCATGTTTTTAAATTATGAGGCTTAAATGACTGGCAGACCAACTTGCATATGAATATGAAGCATTTGAAATTATTATTTCCCATAGAATACTCTTTGAAAAGTAATGAGTCATGAGTTCATGGGGGACATACAAGTCACAGTGATTGGCAGTAAACATATTAATAACACACATGCAAAACCCTTTTCTTTTTTCGAATTTTCAACATGTTCTGACCATCCAGGTGTAATGACAGGATGTCTCTCCCTTTAAAAATGTCTGGGGGAAAAAGGAAAAGGCTTGGAAAAAGCCTAGGCAATGTGGGGATGGTGACCTTCGGTGAGACCTGTGCTTCTAAATTCCTTTGGCAATTTAGAAAATTCAGCTGCCATGGCTACAAGGCCTGATCTTCAGCTGGTGTGTTTTGCACAGCTCTGTGGAGTTCAGGTGTAGTATGCTAAAGTACACCCACTGAGGATATGACCCATAGATTTTAAAGGCAGAAGGTTGGCTATAATCTGATCTCCAGTATGGCACAAGCAATGGGTTCACAAGTGGTTTCTTCAGAGAAGGGTATAATTTAATGACCTCTCTGCCATTGCACCTTTTTCTCTTTCCCCCAGGTTTTGAGTAGATTAAAAGATCTATTCCTTGAGGATCCAAGGCTAAGGTAAGCACATGGCAGACAAGTTAAAAATGCAGCACTGTGAAAGGACGCTGCAAGGAGGAGAAAATCTACAGCTACTGAGGAATTTTACTGATCTCCAAAAACTCTACTTCGATGTTTGCAAGGAAGGGGAGGAGATTCTACCCACTCAGATTTTCTTTAGGGTAGTATTTTCTGAAAACGTACTCACTTTTAGGATGTCATCCAGATGCATCACTTCTTGGTCCAGGTCCTGAAACTCTTTATACTGCTCTTTATGTGGCTCAAGAGCTAAGAGAAGCCCTTGCAAGGCTTCTTCAATGCTTCCATCGAGATAAGACTTATATCCCTCTGATTCCCCACTAATTGATCCCTCACACGGCAGCCTCTCCAGGGTCATGGGTGCTTCTGCTGATGTAAGCCTTTTTACCAGCTGCTTCGTGATGTTGCCCTCATAGGTATCCAGCTCCACAGGCTTGAGCTCTGAACCTTCATCCGTGTCCTGCAGGAGAGACACCGGGACGCTTGTTTCTATAAAGACATGATCGCTCCCAGCATCGGAGGTTTTTTGGCCAACTTCAGGAGCTGCCCTTGGGGTTGCCTTGTTCTCAACCACCACTCCCTCTCCCTGGGATGGCAGGTCCTTCAGCTTGGCAACAGAGTCTCTGCGGGAGTCACTGTTGCTGGAGTCCAGGCTTGAGCTCTTGGAGGACTTGAGAGCTCGGTGCTGGGTGGGGGTCGCAGTGATGTCTGGGCTGGAGCTGATGTGAGCAGAAGAGGACTCTGCTGCATTGGTAGGGGGCACACGCTCTCCATAAGGCAGGTCGCCAAAAGTGAAAGAAAGAGGCCGCTTCTCAGTGGTTGCTGTTCCATTTTCAAAGACGTCATCTGTCAAATTTGACTGAAAAGATAATAGAGAGATAAAATGTTATGCATGTAGCACTGGAAAGAGAAAAAAAAAATACAGTATGTGCCCAAGAAAGAAAAAAGCAAGGAAAAAGATTAAAGCAGCATTCAAGACTTGAGAGATGGGACAAATATTTCAAATCCAACCTCTGCTTTCATCTGGCATGGCTCCTGATTTCGGCAGGAAAACTGCTGGAAAACTTGGGCTCAGCAACTCTCTGGTAAGCAGAGAGCTCTAGGAAGCAAGTGCCAGAATGGAGACCTGAATTCTGCTCATCATACGGGATTCCCTTAGACAACATTTCCACTGCACTTCTCTTAGTTCCTGCAGCATGTCTCTTTTTAAGGGGGTTATACTTAAGCCACCTTGTCTGTATTTTCCTACCCGTTACAGATTTCTGTTGTATTTATTTTCTGACGTCTAAAGTAGCAATCTCTAAAATTTAATACAGTTTCCTCCAAAAGTTTCTGAAAAGTCATGGCATTTTAATGGTGATAATACTATGCGATTTCTTTCCTATTGAAAGTATGTTCTGCATGTGGCATGGATATCTCTAATAACTATTGAACATGAGTTACATGGGAGTCCTGTTCAATGTGAGTTTCTGACAAAATGAAACAGAAGATTTTTTGCAGTGGTGTATCAAACAGGACATTGATAATTTAGAAAGCAAAACCAGTGCCTACAGACCCAAAAAATGGTCACAGCATATACACATGTGCATCCCTCTGACTGACTTATGAGGAAAAATCACTACAGGAGTCACAACCTGCCTATCTGACGTACAAATCTTGCTTTGTTATGTGGCCAACTCATAGAAATGCACAGCACAGATGAAAGACAACTACCATTTTGCTGACTGTTTGCTGGAAAGAACTGTAGGCATTCACATGTTGGTAAGGTGCATAAGGTTACAGTGTCCAAAACTTGCATCTTTTTTTTCCTAGCACTATTAGCAGCTTTTTTCCTTAAACATAATTTTACTCAAAGGTTCATTTATTCTTTCCCTCAACATGGGTATGCTTTTAGCATCTTAAAGTCATGTTACTAGGCAAACATCTAACATCAATCAGTGTAGCGGGCGATTTTTAAGAATACCATGTTGGATTGTATTCCTGCCCTGCTTTCTACCCACGGATAGTTGGCTTCCGATCATTATCCCTGTAGAAACCAAGAGGAACTTTTATTTAATGCTAGCAGCATGGGCTCACAGTCATGTTCTCCCCTCTAATCAGTCAGCAAAATGAGTGAGTTGCAACAGAGAGCAACACATGAAGCATGCGTGGGAATGGAGATGCCACACAAGGACTGAAAAAATCCTTCACCAAACAACAACCAGGACTCACATATAGCTCTAGCCCTGCTTTTGGGGTTAGCCTGAGTGATGGCAGGTCACTAAAAGAGCGACTGCGTCGAAGCTTGTCAAAGAAAGTGTCTTGCAGAGCATCTAAGATGGTCAACTTTGGCCTGTCTTGCAGGGGATGCAGCCATTTCTTCAACAGTTAAAGCAAACAGGGTGTGAGGAAGGGCAAGTTAAAGGAATGCTTTGTAGCAGAGTACAAAATTACAGGCATGGGATGCAGCACTTGCAAAATTAATATCTGTACAGATGGCCTATTCAGCTTAATACACAGTCCTGATTAGGCATTCAGAATTTGATTCAGGCAAAATGTAAGAGCACCCTGTGAATATCTTCAGTACAGGGGCAAATTTGACTATAGGATGCATTAAAAATACAAGTGCTATAATGGTTGTTAGTGTCACAAAATGAACACACATTTCATAAAGATTATTCAAGTATTATAGCCATCAGGCAAGAAGAATAGGTATGCAATAATTGGTCACATAGTTTCAAAGATGCCAGGATCATAATCACCTTCTTTCAGGATTAGCAGCTAGGAATGCACTTGCTTTATAAGTATTTGTAAGGGTAACCTGCTGCAACCAGGGAAAAAAAGCTTAGACATGTAAAGCAATGAAACGTTTACAGTGTTTGAACTGCTCTAGGGCTTCTCATTACACAAACATGAAACCAAACAGAGCTTACAAAGAATGAGTGGTCCTTGAAGGTTGGCGTTTCTGGAGTGCCTTGGCTGTACATGGACATTCTCCTCTGGAGAGCAGATGCCTTGCTCACATTTCCTGTGGACGGGGTCAAGTCTTCAACATCAAAGGGGCTATGGACACACACAAGCAGAAAAAAAAAAAAGGTTGTTAGGCTGAGCAAGAAGGAATTTCAGGTCCATGGAAAGGATTTTTGAAAAGGTGGTTTGTTAGCACATAAAAACCCAGAGGTAGCAAGTTTTTTAACAGAAGTGTTTAAAAGAAAGTGTTGTTAATTAGACAGTGGGCTCAGAAGTGTGGTCTTTGGTTCTGATAAAAGTATTCTACTCTCAGAAATCATTTATGTAGTGTAATCTGATGTTATTTTTCTCACATGAATAGTATTCTCAGATTTGAGCTAAGTGTCACACATACTAATGAGAAAGGTGCTCTACTATTAATAGAGCTGTTGCATTATAAGGGAAACCAGTAGCTGTTATTGCTGGCTTCATGTTTATTGCATTACAAGAAACACCACACATAACTGTAAAAGCTAAAAATATCAGTGCTTCTTTGGGAGTGACAATTACCACTTTTATTAAAGTGCCATGAGAACTGGGTTTGAATCCTAACACCATCAGCTTACGTATGCTGACCAATGCAGATAGAATCATAGAATCATTTAGGTTGGAAAAGACACTTAAAATCATGGAGTCCAACCATAAACCTAACACTGCCGAGTCCACCGCTAAAGCATGTCCCTAAGCACTACATCTACAACAGACAATGCTAGATTTGCCACCACCCTCACGGTGTACAAAGCTCTCAAAGGAGAGGAGAGACCACATGGACATTTCCTCTTGGGTTGAATTTTTACAACTGCTTGACACAGTGACAAACCAGACAGCTCTACTTACTACCAGGTGATTTCAAGGTTCAGCTTTATTGTGCCAAGGTCATTAATGTCTACTGCAACCACCTGAGGCCGTGCTGCAAACAGGTCTTTTGTTTCACAGGTAACACTTCCCACAAGGATGTGTGTAGCAAGTCCTTTAACTTCTGTGACCTGTAAGAGACAAGAACAAGATATCTAGGACTGCACGAGGCATTGTAATCCTTAATTACAAGGTAATGATTTTGACTTTCTGGCCTGGACCCCTACTAAAAGGCTACCAAAATATGACTATGTTTGTTGCATCTTCATTACTTAGGGAAAAAATAACATTTATTTTTCTTAATAAATAAGTTTGTTGCATGTGATCATGCTGCTATGGTTTCTTTATGTTTTTATGGGTGTCAGAAGAGAACAACCATACTGGCTCAGACCAAGGGGCTGTCCAGCCTTGGTATTTGGTCTTTTGCCGTGACCATAAGCAGAGCCCAATGAAAGAGTAAGAACAGGGAGAGCATATTGGTTGTTTTCCCATCTAATGCTCTCTCAGCAATTGACAATTTTAATGACGGGCAACCTCCTGACGTAGCTCGCGTACTTAGTAATTCCTAAAGGAAACTCTTCTATGTATTCTTCTCCTGCATCTCTGAAGCCATGTAATTGTTTGTATCTATGATGGCCTTTGGTGAGAACATCCACAGATCTATTGGTGAGGAACCACCTCCGTAAGTTTTTATAATAAGAGCAGAGTAGAGCACTATTCACATTTATATATATATCTGCCTGAAAATTCAGAGAGACAGTTATATTTGCAGCTCTGATATGCAAAGAAACCTTTGGCTATTTGCTTGAAAGTCAGTTATTGAGCCTTTCATGTGAAAGTCTTAGGAGAAAGTCCAAAAAGGGCAAGAGCATACACATTAACCTTAATAATACTGGGACTCTCATTTGAAGCTCTTGTGTACTACAAGAAAGGGTTCTCTCCTAACCTTCCACCTTAAAACTGTGTTGTTTGTTGACTGGGGAGAATGACTCACCTTGTGTCACAACTTGACTGTCTGTGAAAACTTCCTGTATCACACATTTGTGATTATTTTGTTGGTAGTTTTGTAATTGCTTGCACTTTCTTTTCATGAAGGTTTTGTAGTCTCAAAGTGGAACATTTCCCAGGAGACTTTCAAGATGCTCTCATTTAAGCTGCCCAAGCAGGGACACCCGGCATAATTATTAGCAGCAATTTCTAGAAAGGGGTCAGGGAATGGGTATTTCTGGGTTGGAGGTTTGTTGGAAGGAAAGTGCGTGAGAATGTGGACCTTCAGCCAGCAGAAAACTGTCTGTGGAGGCTTGGGGCAACGAGGGGATGAAGCAGTGGCGGAAAGACTCCGGTTTGGGAGGAAAAGTTGGTGTTGACTGCTAGGAGTTGCAAGAGTTGCTTTTTCCCTGGGGAATAGGGCATAAAGTCAGAGGAAAGCAGAGACTTGAAGCCATTAAGAAATTTTGGGAAATGCTGTGCTCTAGGAAGCTGCTAAAAAGTCAGAGTGGTTTTTCTACAGGCCTCCATCTCACTGTGAGCAAAAACATCACAGCACTGCTCCTTCACACTGTAGCACTGCTGTTCTGTGCAGGGGGGCAGGACTGGACCTCAGGACCGTTCCAGCTTATGCCCAGCTGTCCCCTGTGTGTGTTCAAATGAGAGACCTGTGTATTCCTCCAGATCAGCAGATGCTGCTCTCTTATCTGAGCAGTATTAACAAACTCAGCAGCAGTGGGATTTTTTGGGTTTGGGTTTTCTTGTGTTGTTGTTTTCCTGAACGCTGCTAGCAAACAGGTTTCCAGTGTTCCCTTGCTTTGGTGCAAGTATCTGAGTTGCTGGAGAGCAATGCGAGGCAAGGGTTGTGTTAGTATGGCTGTGACACCAGCGTGGGGAGAGTTAGGACAACCTCTCCCACAGGACTTCCAAGCTGATTACAGTCTTGTTGCATTTAGATTATACAATACTATAACACTTCACTCTTAGTAGGTGTGTTGGAAATACTGATGGCTCATTTCCAAAGAGTTTAATGATCTGCTGCTGCATTTTTGCTGTTGGTGAATGAGAAGGCAGCTTTTGACTCCTGCCTTGCCCTTAGGCAGAGGAGTTAGCTTGTGTACCTTAATGGAGATCAGTCCAACAATGAGAGGGAGGAAAACCATTTCTTCTCCATCCCAGCTTTGCTTGCCATTCACTTCTATTTTGCCTTTCAGTTTCCATCGCTGGCGACCATAACGCATGAAAATCTGAAAAAGAAAAATCCTCTCATTTTCTTGAGAAATTTGCTCTCTTGATGCACGAATATCAGAAACAGAATTGGGGAAAGGGTCTGAAATAGGCTGGAAGAGTTGGTGGTGCAGGTGCTGCCTTTCTGCTTCCCATCAAGCCAGAAGGAAAACGTCTGTCCTGCAGGATCTCTGCCTCTCAGCTCTTCTAATGCCTCCTTTCTATAAGGCACCCCTCACCCCGGGTTTCACTTTCACAGAACTAGATGACTCATAAGAAAAAAGCTGCAGGAGCTTTAACTCTCTTTACAGGGAAAGCAGCAGTGAGGTAGAAAATTTGGAGGGGAAGGAGGAAAGTCCTCATGGCCTTTCCTAACATCTACAGCTTGGTGGATCTGCTGCCTTCCCAGGCTGGGGAAAGGGTAGGTGAGCTCTTGGCCATCCCACCAGCTGTGAGACTTTGGCTGGGCTGCCAAGATGTTCTGGGCTGTGGGGCTGGCTGGGAGAGACCTGCACCAACTCCTCTGCCCTGCAGATGAGGAAGCACATGCTGCTTGCCGGCGTGAGAGGGGCTGGAGAGATTTGTCACAGGGAATGAGCGTGGGAACAAATAAATCAATGACCAAGACAGCTGGGAAGTACAGGGTGGGGGATCCATAATCAATTTGTGAATTTCTTGCAGGGTTAGCTCTGTTCTAGAGCTTGAGGCTTTTATTTTAATCCATCTCTAATTAACCTGCTCTTGATGTTATCCACTGAAACACTGCCGTGACCAGAGATCCTGACACAGCCTCAGAGCAGGTAACATCTGGGTCTCAATAAATGGTTATTCTGTGCCTTTCTCCTACTCTGCTTTACAACAATGTGAAGCCTAAGCATCCAGTAAAGGATGCTCTCAAGGATGTGTTCAATTTGCTCTGCATGCATGGGATGGGGAATATGCTTTCTTCCAGGGGAATTAGAAATGTTTGTCATGAATAAGACAGTGAGAAGAATGCCTTCATTCTGGGAGACACTTAAAAAATAAGGGGGTTTTTCTTGTGTGTTTGGGTTTTTTATACAATTTAAACTTTTAAAATAATAATAAAAAAACCTTTTATTAAAAAAACCCATGATCCAGTGCTCTGAATATAATTTTGAGGTCTTCCAACAGATGCCCTGACATAGGCAAATGTAAAGAGAACTGCAAGGTTTTTCAGAGCATATATAGGAAAAATAATAGCTGTTTCTTGGGGTGCTGATGTGAAAGGGTTTTATTCATCATGATGTAAAGAGCAGCAGAAATCTGCCTTCCTTTTGATTCTTTTGCTATTAAACAAACCATAAACCAATGTGGACGTACCTCATATTGATCTCCCGGGCAGAGCCGAGCAAAGCCAGCCAGACCTGAGAAGGAAAGACACAGAAGGGCTGTGAAAGGACCTGGGTTTCCGAGCGCAGTGCTGCCCACCAATGGGTTGCAGTAAGGTGCAGTGAGGTGCCCTGGGGTGCAGCTGGGTGCCCCGGGGCCGCCGCTGCCATGCTCGGGCAGGAGAAGGTGGCAGCCCCCCAACAGCTGCTCTGCTGGGAGGTGTTTTTGACCCCCCTCTTACTGCTGCCTTAGTGCCCACCAAACCAAGACTCCCATCTGCCCCAATAATTTTCCTTTTCTTTGTTTTCTTTTTTTTTGGTATACAGTTCATTGGATTGTGGTTTCTTGCATATCAAAGATTTAGACTTTCCAGATTTTTTTTTTCCTACAACAGCTCAAATTGTTCTATAATAATTATAGAAAAAGAAGAAATAGCTTCCTGGCATCATCTGGCTTCGGAAAGCAAGCTTAGCACCCTTACTATCGTGATGTGTAGGCGAGCTGCTGATTACCACATAGTGCTTGCTGCTTAACACTAATCAGACCGAGCTGTACATTTTGACACATTCCTTTGTCATTCATCTTAATAGAAACACAAGAGGGGCTCCTTCTGTTTGGTGTTTCCATAACATTATAATTCCCATATGATCTGACTATCTTTCAGTAGTAGGTACATCAAGAAACATGACTGACATCTGTAATATGAGATTTATTCATGTCTTTCCCCAGAGGAGGACAAGTAGCATAGCAAAGCACTTGTGGTATATGTTTGCTTGATTTTTTTTTTTTAAAAAGGTAGGACATCATGATACTATTTCTATATTGACCCTGTGCATGTGAAATTGAAAGTGTCCTGAGGTTTGTGACCACCCTGAAATCCTAAGTATGTTACCATCCCTCACCTGGCCTTGTGACCCGTTCTCCTATGGGATGCAACTGGTTGGTTTTCATTAACTTAATCCTCTACCTCCACAGAGGAAACCTCTCCTTTCACGCAGATCTCCTCAGTAGATTGCACTTGTTTTTGTATAAAAATTTGCCCAGCTTTGCCTGGGTAAGCCTAAAACTATGCCTCTAGTGTTGCAACACTCAAAGAAACCAGTTTGAAGACATACCAAGCCTGTGGCAGAGAAAGGAATTAAACCAAACTTTCTGGGGTATTTGGGCTGCATTTATCCTAAAATGCTGTGGTTGAACATATACAGGTGTGTTAAAATCAAGGTAATTAAGATGATCCCTAATGTTGGCTTTATTTACTGGGCTGAATTAGTCCTGCTAACTGGACTGTAGGAGCAACTAGACCTCTGCATGTGGCCGTGGCCTGTCCCTGTGATCTGATGATCCTCCTCTCCCATTTCTTTGACCAGAAAAGAGTTTTCTTTGCTCATCTTACTATGTAGCAGAACGTAGGGGTCATTGTGCAGAATCCAAGTCCTTTCTAATTTACTTGCTGTTTATAAATAATTTAAGCTTACTAGCACTCCACTGCTGCTTCTCTCTCCCCAGGTACGCTTTTGTAAGTGAATTTGATCTCTGCTGGGATCTCACTGAAAGTATCTGAGGAAAATAAAAGGTCCTTTCTTTGTTCAGGTGATGGGGTGGGAGAGCAGGGAAACACAACTTCAAATTCCACATGGATGTGGTCTGGACTGGAGGTCTGTGAGCAGTGACTTGCCCAACCAGGCACTGGTTTGGGCAGAGGGACCAGAAGGAAGTGGCAGGAGAGGTGAACCTGGAACTGAGCTCCTGCCGTGGTCGGTGCTGGTCAAGCCTCTTCAGCCTGATGAAGAGGGGGCTAGGAGTTGACTTGATTACAGGGGACAGGTATTTTTTGGTAAGTGGATAGCACTTAGGGACTAAATGTACGGCAGGAGCCAATGGCTCTATCATACCATGTCGAAGGTCACACCTTTGTAAAAGCACTGTCCTGGGCTTGTAATAAAGATGGGATGAGAGGTTGCTCCTGGGGCTTCAGCAGAATTAGGGGACAGGGCCATTACATGGCTGTGTCATGGCACTAGTGTCCTTTGTTGGCAGGGCCACCTGAAGGCATCAGTTCATGCAGCATGTACAGCTCTGCTCATGTGCAGGATGCTGGACACCTGGACTTTGGTGCTGGTGCTGGGCTTGGTGTTGCAGAGCCCCTGGTGCATCAGGCTAGCGTATCACTCTCAGTGGCTGGGCATTTCACCTCCTGCTGTCCTGGCACTTCCAACGGGTATAGGGGCACTTCCCTATACATCATAACACACAGATTCCATACAGGAACTTCTAAATTTCCACATTGGGTTTCGTTGTTTAATTTCAACAGCTGATTATCCTGAGCAGTAATCAAAGACTGCTGGCAAGCTTATTATCTTTATTTTGAAAAACTATTAGGCTTTTTTTTTTTTTTTAAATATCAGTCATAAAAACACAGTGTGGGTCCCTGCTTCCTGACAGCACTGTGTAGGTTGGCTTGCTTTCAGTGTAAGTGACAGAGGGTACAAAATAAAAATAACTTTCACTGGAATGGCTAGGAACAGATAAGCTGTGGGGAGAGGAATGCTTTGATTTTAAATTAGATCCTAAAGTTAGCTGGATATGCTACAGTATAACATAAGGAGGAAGCTTGCTCCATGCTCTGTAGGCTTTTGTGCTAGAGCTGTTGTGAGCTTTCGCAATAGCCATGGCTGGATTGTCCTACTGGATTCCTACTCCTAGGGAAAACTATCTAGATAGAGATCTCAGATGTTCTCATTAGAGAATACCTAATGATATGACTATTTTTCTTTGCTATTTACTGATCTGGGCTTCTTTTTTTAGGAGAACTGTGTTCAGAAGTAGCTGTTGTTTGTGGTTCGTGCTCTACTCCTGCATGTGAGTGCAGCACCTGGCTCCTCAAGAGCTCTTGGGCTTTGCTGGAGGATTTGGGTGGAGGATTTGGGCATTCAAAAGAGAAGACAGTCATCTGCGTTGCCATGATACCTTCTGCAACATGTCCTGCTGCCAAGAATTGTACATTGCACTGCATTTACATCAAGTAAGGAAATGCTCTGAGGGACCTGGCCTGTTGCAATTCCTTTTCTACACTGCATGTCCTCGCGCTTCCTTCAGTGTGTCCACACTGTGGGTCTTTGTATAGAAATATCTGTCTCAGGCTCTGTGTGTCAATCTTGTAACTTTACGTCTACGCATCTTCGGCTGCCTTTCCAGTGTGTAAGAGTGGGGGGCTCTTAGAGATAGGAGAACTATAATAGCTGCTGCACTTGTTTTCTCTAGTACAGAAGCATGGAGTAACTATTTTAACTTGATCTAAGATAGATCATCTCTCATGCACTGCAACCACCGGACACAACTAACAACTGTGACAAGGCAGGCAGAATCAAAACCCTGTATGAGATTTGTGAGCTCTAAAATCTCCAGCAGCAATACTGTGAATTTTTTAAATGGCAAGATTTCAAGTGAACAATGAAGAGTGTATGAATATTTAGATGCTGATTTGGTTTTATAGAACTATTTTAATGACAGTGATTGAAAATCCAAAAAAGATCTCCCCGCAATCTCTTCTTTAAGACATTGAGTCTTAAAGGGATAACAGCTTTAGTAATACCTGATGATTCACTGAGCCTTCAGGTAAAACTGATTCCATTGTATTCAAACCCATAAAGCCCCCTACCATAAAGACAGGGAATAAACTGAAAGGTGAATGCCACCACTCAGTTATCTAGGTGTTTAAATGGTAAACTACCCCCACATCTTTGCTTTTTTACATTTGCTAAAAAATAGTGGGAGTAGGAATCAGCAAAACTAAAGGACTTAGAAACAGATGATGTCAAATTAAGGAAGTATTTAGAACTTCAGCTCCACAGGCATTCACATAATTTCCCAGTCATCTTCTTAAAGGAATATGGAAATAGAGGCATAAGGTACAGCAGCCTTCAAAATTGAATTGCTTTGGCGGTTGGGAGGAGCATTTGAGGGAGGTAATTAGCCTTGAAAACAAGAAGCAGCATCTCAGAAAGTCCCTCTGTAAGCTTTGATGTTCCTGGCTCTGTGATTCTTTCCACTGAGCAGGGGTGTAAGTTGGGGGTTTGAAGGCTCAGCAATAGGTACGGTGGGGGAAAAACCACACCTACCATAAATACACATCACTCAAGCATGTCTGTATCTCAATGCCCTCACTAACATGCACAGAGACCACTGCTGTTCAGGGAGAAAAAAGGGAAAGGTGAAAAGGCAATTACCTTTCATCTTGATGTAAAACTCCCCCAATAGGTTTTCCAGCTCTGCTTCTATGGTACACATGTTCTGTGTTGGAAAAGAGAACAGTGAGGTCAGACAAACCCTCTTACCCTCTTTCTGCCCTATTTATTTTTTTTTTTTTTAAGTTCTATTTGTAAGGAAAGATTCTGTTATGAAGATGAAAGATATTTTGCAATAAAATCAATCTGCCAGGGCCATCCTTACTGTTTAGCTATGTCTGGCCCCAAAAATGGCAGCTGAGCTATTCCTGCTCACCCCGAAGCTGAATGTAACCCCGTGCTCTTCTTTGCACTCTAATCCTCCTGTTGGCAGAGGGCAGTTGTGGCCCTTGAAGCGTAACCTGGTCACTGTCCCTGTCCTCTCCAGCCAGGACATGTGCCAGCAGCAGCTCCATGCCAAAGTGGCTCCCAGCATGTTTTTAATCTCTCAAGAGACATGGACTACATTAAGAAAAAAGAGTCTATGGGGGATGGGTACCACCAGACCCTCTCCAGTTCTTCCTTCAGATTTTGGAAGGTTGTTACAGCTTGTGTGCCAGGATGTTTGCAACACTATTAGACATTTCTTCATCTACCGCCTGTTTAATAACATAGATGCTGATCACAGCAAGTAAAACTGGACAGCATGCAGCAGATGTCTGTACACATATGGGTTCCAGCCAACCTGCCACCCCAAAATCTGCCAGTGGGAAGGACATAGTCAGAATAATATGTAACTTTGGGGCAGATTTATGCTTTTTTGTGTGTGTGCAGCAGTTCCTGGGTATAACCCTGCTCTTGTCGAATACAAACATTATTATTTCAAGGAACTCCTTGAGCCCATGTAACCTGGCTTTGTAAGGCATTAGGTATTCACCTGAAGACAAACAAATAAATAATAATTCATCTTTGCTGAGTTTGCTTTTAATTCTTTTATCCAGATAAAATTCTCCCTGAAATCAGTCGCAAAGTTCCCATGGCCTTCAAACAGTGTGAAAGACTAAACTGATGAGGATGTACCTCTGTGTACTCCTTGTAACTCCTGTTGATTTCGGTTAAACTCTCTCGAGCTGCTTTGCTGGCAGGAGACATCGCAAAAGCTTGCTTCATTTTGCTGGCGCCATCACAGAGACGTCTTTGGATACAATAGGCTTCATAAAGCTCATCCACCTGGAGGGAACAAAGAGGGTGCATTGAAAAAAACCTAAGAAAAACCAACACAATAAAACCAACAAACTGTGAAGTCATTTGCATTATAAGGAAACAAAGCCAAACTGTTAGATCTATTGGAAAGTGTGAACAAATGAAGTTATGATACTGCTACAGTCTGTGAAAAAGAAACACAAGATAAAAATAACTTCCACTGTAAAAATCTCATTACAGCAACACTAGATGCTGCCAGCAGTTCAACTGCTTGCCCTGCATGCCTTTAACCATTGCTATTCCTTTTTTCCCCTGTCTCGGTGAAGTACAATCGTAATTGTAGGGCAGGCATGAATTCTTCTCAAATACATCGTTGCAGAAGAACTCTTTCAAAGGTAACTGCAATGTCCACGTGGCCAAAGGGGACTGGGTGCGTTAAATGGCACATTTAACAGGGCCAGCAATGTCTCCTGTATTGCTAACGCCAGCCGTGGATTGAGGCTCTATTTGATTAATAGGTAGTATTGGAAGTGGGTAGTGATTTTTTTTTTCATTCTCACTGCCTGTCCTCCAGAAACTGGGAGTCATAGTCAGAATCACCACAAGTAAAGGACTTAGAAGCAGCTGATGTCAAATCAAGAAAGTTTTGAACTTCTAGTCATCTTCTTAAAATCTTTTGGCGTGACTTAGGCACCCAACATTTCATAAGTACTCCAGCAGTTTTGCAAAACCTACTCACAATCAGTTTAAAGTTTCACCTCAATCTAGCTTCACAGGGCAATGGGTTTACATGTGTCTCGTTCTTTGGTTTCCCTCTGATCCCTGCACTGAATGTGTACATTTACTCCATCTGAGCTGCTCAGTGGGAGTCTACAGCAGTAGAGCTGGTGTATACATGTATATTGACATATTTATATAAACTTAATCTGCCAGATAGAGGAGATGTAGGTTTTCTAATTTGGCTTTATCAGGGTGAGAAGGAAAGGAACAGAGGAAGATGTCTTTTCTTTCTGCTTCTAATGTCCCTGCTAAGATAGGATGATATTTGTGTATTACCTAGAATAACCTTTTTCCTTTCTTATCTCTGACATCAAGAAATCGCCCCCTGCCCCATGGTGCTTGTTGCTCAGCAGTGGATTTTCACAGCAGAGTTTCTCTCAATGAAAGGTTCCAGCGCCTTGGCTTCATCGGTCTATGACTTTGTGTTGCTGCATTAGAGATGAGCCTGATGTGACAATCCAGGCATGTTCCAAATCCCATTTTCCAAGCCTGCTTAACCTCTAACAAAAAGTGATGCTGCTTATCTGTTTGGAAGGACACTGTTCTTCCTGACAGCTTCAAAGCCTTAGGTCAACTTTTACAAGGCTAGCTTGGATTCCTAATGGCCAAAGACCCTGACTTGAGGGATCTCTAACCAAAACGGACTGCTTTGCAAAGTGAAATTGTTCAGCAAAGGGTAATGAAGGCACAGGTAGGGTTTTGCCATTTCAAAGTTACAAGAAAAGCTTCTTGGAGTCATATCCACTCATATTTCTCTTGCAAGTCAGCTAAAGACAGCTACTATAAATAGATGTCATTTGGTATTTATTTCTGCCATCCAGCTGGAGGCTTAACCTGGGGTTGATGTCCTGCCCCTGCCCATGCAAGTGTGGCTAGGGCACTCATCTGCCCCCCTAAATTTGTGGGGTCTGCAGCTGCACATCCCATTTTCCTTGCTCTGTGTTTACAGAGCGCCAGCAGGTAGATGGCAGAAGACATTGCTGTGGCCCTGATTCAGTGCTGCTGAAAAAGACCTTCTCTGTCATTAGAAACAAAGATGTTTCTTCACCTGCTCAAGTCCATAAGCTTTAATGCAGCCCAGCTCGGTCCCTTTTGTCTCTGTTGCTGTGGGTTACGGAAAGTGAACTAATGTACTGGGCAAGCTTGAGTAATACTGACCAGCATTACCTCTTGTGTTTGGTGCTTTTCAGTCCTATTATAAGCCAGAAACCATTAGCTCTGAGCAGGCTGGAGTGGGAAGGACTTGAATGGAAATGTTCTTTAAGCACTAATTTTGCCATTCATGTTGCCAACAAGAGAGAAGGTGGGTTGGGGAACAAAATTTCAGTCTATCATCTGATGATTTATATCTCTTTTTTTCGGCTCCAAGAGTAAGAGAAGACTGAAATTAAAAGGTTTGGATGGGTTGTCATAATTGGAGCACTTCAAGCTGTGCAAACACTTTTCAAATGACTCTCAAAAGACATTTCATCCGTCAAAAATAATTCATTCTTTTGTCAGGTTCATAAAAGCAACTAATCGCTAGCAGATATGTTTATAACATGACATGGGTTATGTCCAGCTCTAAAATGTATTAGTATAAATCACAAGTACCTCTACTGACCATTTTCACCAATGTAATTATGTGGATGTGGGCCCCAAACCATGCAGCAAAAGTGTCAGCAGTGAAATCCAGGAATAAATCCAATCTAGCTGCTGCGTACAGTAGAAACAACTGCCGAATTACATTAGTTTCAGATGCAACTCTCTCTCTACCTGTAGTTTAACAACAAGCATGCAGTGAGAGAGATTTTTCCCAGCAAGTGCCTGACCCTATGTTCTCTCTGTACCTAAAAGCAGGTGGGAGTGTCTCAGGGCACGGCTGGTCCTTGGGGGCTACAAATCACATGGAAACCCTTCCCTTGGCTCTGACCACCAGCCCATCACAGTAAAAACAGTGAATCTGGGAGAGGCTTTATCCAGGTGGCCTCCCTAGAGCGGAGGGGTAGCAGGAGGCCAAGGGTTTGTTTTACTAAGAACACAGGAGCAGAGGCAGAAGAAAGACGATAGGAGCGGTTGTTACCTTGCTAATGTGGAACTCCAGCCTTCTCATGTATCTTTCGACCGCTTTGATTTGCTGAAGGAAATTAAGAGTCAGAGGGTGAGGCACATTTAAATAAATCAGTAAGTCATCACCATGCTAGCTCTGCATGGGTCTTCAGGTCCCTGTGAGGCTGAGAAACTCCCCCTTAAAACACATAGGGTTTTGTTGCCTGTGAAACTGGAATTAGGGGTCCCACCTTACTGCTACTAATCTGCTGCTGAAAATGGAGCTCACTGACTTCTGTCAGTTTTTGAACAAACTAAAGTTTTTCTTTGATGGGACTTCCTTAGTTTTTTGAATTCTTAAAAAAAAAAAGAAAAAAAATCAGAGCTTTCTTAGCTCAAAATATAATATTTCCAGTACTTTGAAAACCTGTAATAAAATTGATTGGGTTTTGCATTTCAAAATCCATTCTGTTGTTCAACAAACTGTTTTTGACAGCAAAACTGAGCTTGGCATTTGGACCAAAAAAAAAACGCCAGACTTGTTCAGGAAATGTTTCTGAAAGCTTTCCTTTTGTTTCATCCAAATTTTCCTGCAGGGAAAATGATTTTTTTTTAAATTTTTCCTTCCCCCAAACCGGCAGGGGCAGGGATGAGCTGGGGCTTGACCCAGCTCCCACGGACCACCACAGTGTACCCCCTCCAGCCCCCTGCCTGTCTGGAGCTGGCAGGGTGAAGTTGCACAAGGCGATGGATTTAACAGCTGGCAGCTGACAGAAATAGGAGGTCTCACTCCTCCGCCTCTGTCATCCCCTAGTAGGGGTCTGCCTCCTTCCGTGTGCCTGTCCCGAGCCAGTTTAACTTGACAGACTGATGGGGTAAGTTTGATGCTGTTAGCGAGCACAGCTGGCTGGTGGAGGCACCAGGCAATACCAGAGCACATGGGAAGAGGAGGGGAGCTTCTTCCTTCACAAGTGCAAATTGTAATTTCTCCCTTGATGGTGTTGGCCTGGCTAGCAGATCCATCTGAGAGAGGTTTCCCATGCCAGTTACGTACACTGTATGGATACTAATGCTTCCTTGCAAAACCAGTGTCGAAGGGGTTAACGTACCTTATCTAAATCATACAGGACCCCCTGCAACAGAGAAGATTAAACTGTGATTAGTTTTGCAACATAACAGCACCACGAGAAAATAATGTTTGTCAGTCAATGGAAATCACAAACAAAATCAGGGGTGGAAGGGAAGAAGAGCATCAGTGCAAATTCCCTGTATCCCACTCCCACCCCTGGCTGCTCCAGCACCTCGAGAAGGTTACTGTGAATCCACACGATGAAAAAGTGTGACACGTACCAGGCGTGAGTTTCTTTTCATGTCTTTTAACTGAGTAGTCAACTTATCCAGCTCTGTCTGGTGAACTTCCAGATACTCACTGTAAACACAAACCAGAGAAGGGATCCATGAGCTCTGCAGCACATATCGAGCTGGCTGCTGACCATCCTAAAAGAAAATCTGCACAACAAATGGCTTTCCTCGCTGGATGCATTTTCAGACAAAAACTCATTTATCTTGATCTGTCCTAAAAGCAGCTCCCTGCTGCCTTTTTGGGAATATATGGGAGTGACTTATTTAGCAGTGTGTAAGAGCTCAGTGTTCTTATGCCGAACAACCAATTTAAAGTAAGCTAATCTGCTGCTTAGTTTATGGGCTGGTGCCTTCCAGTCGCTGCCCTTGTATCTGGCTGGTAAAAGCCCTGTTATCGTCTGGGATGTTATCTTAAAGGTGATACAAGCCTCTGATAGGACTCTAGGAAATTCGGAGGAAAAAAAAATTGGATGTTGAAATGCCAGCCTTTGGGAGCTTTCCTAGCAATTTGAGTGGAAAAGGGATTCTGTCCCCTGTATTCCTGTTTCCCATACAAATATTTTGGATCCTAAGTGTTACAATCAAGACTCCAAGAGGTATATTTCCTCTCCCGTGATTAAGGATCCCTGTTCCTGTGATATGTTTCTTTAGGGTTTAAAGTGCCACAGAAAGCTTCAATCGACAAGCAGGACAAAGGCTCTTACTCCAGGCCATTCTTCAGGGCTCGGTAGACCTCTTCCATCCTTTTAGGCTGGGGCTCTTTAGGGGTGGTGCTGTTCTTATGGCCCAGATTATGCATTTTCTTCACCTTTGCTTGGGGCTTCTTGATTGCAGAAGAATTTTCAATAAAGGAGTTACACCTGCAAAATGAACATTAAAGAGGAAGAAATCCCTATAAATCATAACAATCCCAAAGGAGCATAGCTTGAAGAAATCTTCTGATACTATCTGCTAGCAGAAACAAACCTGTGTCTGTGCCTGCCAGTTAAAGGACTGCGTTTGTTTACAAGTTAAGAGGTCTGAGCAGCCTGGGACACGTGCTGTCAGCTTTTGATATGCCAGTTGCCTTGCTGAGATATAACTGCTTGTCTGGAAATGCTGGATTGAGTCTGAAGCTCATCAGACCTTTCTCTGTCTTATCCCATGCCTGTCCTGCCTCACGTTGCCTAGCTACAGCCATAAAAGAGCTGAGCTACGTCCAGGTGCTAAAAACAAAGGGGAGCCCAGCTGACCTCAGGTGTAAAGCCTGGGTGCTCCTAAGGAAGATGAGGGCTTGGTTAAGAGCATGTCTGGAGGACAGCATCAAGTTGCTGGTCTTGAGCACGTAGGTGGCAAAGGGAGGATAGTTGTGCTGCGTATAGGTGCCTCTTTGGTGACTCTGCTGGGGGTAGGTCAGCATCTAACAACCATCACTGACTTGAGCTGATGATGGGAGGCTACCTTCCTCCTTAATTGCTAACTAGTGGTCTGGCACTCAGAGACTTTATACAAATTAAAAGTAATTGTAGTGTCTGGGGGCATCAGGAGCTGGTTGACTCGATAAGTGCCTGACTCAAAGCCCTAAGCCCTGTCTAGCTAAAGGGCAGTGCAAGGAAGGGCTCTTCAGCCAAGCTCGGCCCTGTTTCCAGCAGGACATGAAGGCAGCTCTGCAAGGGAAACCGATTTTGAATTCATAGCAGCATCGCAATGAGAAAACCATCTTTTAGGTAGCAACAGTCTTCAATTGGGGGTGGTGGGAAGTGTATCATGTTCTTGCACATTTCACATGTGGAAAAGATCACTGCATAAGTTAGTAAATTAAACTGATTCTCTGGAATTTTCTCACAGCTCTGAGGCATGTGAGGAAGCGCTGCCTTAATGGAGGAGAGGCAAATAGGCACCTGGTAGCTGAGGCAGAGGGCAACAGCTTAACTATACAAATAATACATAGAGAGATTTTAGCCTAGAAGACCTTCTTCTGCAAAGAGAAGGCAGTCTCCTCTTACCTCTTTCCCACTTACACCCTCCCTTAGCACCTGATTTGGAAATTCCCCTTAGACAGCATGGCACTTGCCTGGAGCGCCTCTCCTGAAGCCCGCTGAAGCCAGCAAAGGACTGGCTTCTAATAATCCCATTAGGACCTCCTGGAGAGAATGAATGTGATCCTATTGACATGATTTCGGGAAGCCTGGAAGATATTCCTGAAAAACAATAGAAAGCAGGTCAGTGACGAGGGAGGGTAAGAGGCAGGCAGTGAGGCAGGGACTGCCTGGTGCCCATCAGGCACTGTAAGTGGTAACTGAACCCCACGAGGGGGCACAAGCCAGGGCACACATCTGTTTGCATTGTCAAATCATCCCACCTCAAAAATAAAATGGTCCTATTTTCACTTCTGACTTATGGCCCAGGGTCTACTTAAAATGTGCTGGAGACACAAAGACGGTCTGGATGTGGGACTAGGAAACAGATACTTCAGCATGCTAATCACAATGCCATACCCGATTTCTGCTGTGCCTGGCATGCTTCTGCCCCAGCCCTGGTGTCCCCATCTGCTGCACCAAATTGTCACGGATATTATTTTGAGGGTGTGTTGTGCTCTTAGGGGGCACTCACCATCACCGTGAAGTGTTATTGCACATATTAAGTTAAAAAAAAGAGGGTTCATTCAGCATGAATCAAGTCCCGCAGCTCCCTTTGATCCTTGCTCGTTTTCCCCGTGGCTGCTCCCACCTGGCTGATGCGAGGGAAGATGCGGTGGGTGTATGCACAGACACGGCATGCCGTGATGAGCGAGGGATGCTCTCCACCACAACAAGAGATGAGTAAACAAGCTCCAGGAACTGTATGCGCTGCATTTTATGTGTCTGTGAGGCAGTCCCAGCACCCCAGGAGGATGCCCTTCCTCTGTGTGTGTGCCCATTTTCAACACCCAGCTCAACATTGGCACCATGCTAAGGTGATTTCAATCCACTCGCAAAGAAACAGCAAACAAGTGCTGCAGTTCACAACAGCTCCATCAGCTCCTGCTGCCAGGAGGGGAGAGGGGGATGCCTCCCTCTTCCTTTCTTCCTTGATCCACTGTTTACCTTGTCTCAACCCTGGCACTTGCTGCCCTCGGCAGACAACAAAGCCGATTGTTCTGCTGCCTTGGTTTTGTGCTGGTATGGCAAGGTGAATGGCCTCACCGAGCTGCCTGAGGAGTATCATGGCCAGCTGTGGCTGGGCAGCAGGGCAGGAGGGGAAAGGGGATGCTGGAGAAGAGCCACTGGTCAGCGGGTGCTGCCAGGGACCGGCTCCCGCATCCCACTGGACTCATCCTCTCACCACCTCCTTCCTTCCCGGGGTGCCAGCAGGGCTGCTAACACTGTTGCACTGCGAAACAGATTGAGAAACTAGGCCAGCTTAAAAATAACCTGACTAAAAATGAAGAAGAGATTTTTTAAGAAATGTTTTCCCATTTATTTTAAAAGCTGGACCCAGGCTGCTCCATGCCCCCAGTTCATTTCACTCCATCAGCTGGGCTGAGGGGTTAATTTGGTGCCATGGCAGGACAGCGTGGTAAGGGCTGGAGCTGCCTGCAGGCAGCAGAGCTGATGGTCTGTAAAACCATGACCTATGGGGCCGATATATGGGGACCGAGGGGGTGACAGTGAGTTTCAAACACCCTCTCATCCCCACAGGCAGGGAATGATCATGAGGGCCCAAAAAAGCAGCCACTTGTGAAGGCTACAGATTTGCAATGCAAGCCTTTGCAACTGAACATATTTATTAAAGATAAGCACCAGAGCTATGTGGTGCCTGCATAGCAAACACTCACAGGAGAAAGAAAATACGTGGGGAAACGTTGTGTGCCATCCAGTTATGTTTAATTTGTAGTGCTAAGCTGGGCAATCGCTCTTTGAAGTGGCAGTAGGTGCCATGGTGAGCTACTGCTTCTCTGCGGAGAGTCCTGCATTGCCCCAGGAGCTGCTTTGTCAGGAATACTTCTGCAAGAGCTCTGCCAGAAATACTTCTTCCTGTCCCAGCATTGCCAGCACTACTGGTAATGTGAATTTTCCTCTATTGCACCTCCAAAACAGCGTAAATCTGTATGTTTTGGAAGGAGGGGCTGGACAGCCCTCAGAGATACGACCTGGGCTGCAATTAAGGCAAGTTTTCTCCTCTGTGGCCAACAAATAACAGTGATCCGCCACTTGTGTCCCCAGCTAAGCCCAGATGCAGTGCTGAGCCAGTTTAACCACAGTGAGGCTAAACATTTGGGATAGAGAAGTTGCTCTCAGGTGGACCAGGGCCATGCAGACCCACATGCTGGGCAGAAACCCATGGCCAGGAGAGATGGAGGGAAGGGAGAGGGTGGGAGCAGGAGGTGCTCAGGAGCAGCTGCTCCTCACAGGCTCAGGAGAAACCGCAGTGAGCTCAAGTTTCGGCTAACTCACACAGGGATAAACAGGCTCCAGCCATAGCCAGAGATACTGGAGTCTTTGATCCATGAGAGCCCAAATTTGGCCCTACACTCACCCCTGGCTTCTTAAGGCTCCCACAACACCCCTGCAGGGCTGAGCTCTGCTCAGGCTTGCTGATACCTGGCACTTGGCAGAAGCCACTTTGCAGCTTCCAGGGTCAAACCTCACATCTCTGTAGATGGTACAGCGTCTGCCCACACCAGCTGACATCTAACACTGCAAACCCCACCAAAAACCAGCTCCTGAGGGACAAAACGGAAACCATCTGATGACAGTACTTTGGGGGTCCACGCAGCAAGCTCTCTTTGGTTTTGCAAATAACCTTGAGATGGTTAGGCTGCGTGCTGTATGCTCCCATTTGCATACAAGGATTTGCATTAAAAGTTGGGTCCAGAGTGCCAAGGAGCAGAAAATCCCTTGCAAGTGGTCAGCACTTGCATCGTTTGACAGGATGATTAACACACCCCTTGACAGCATCTGGAGACCTACGAGGGTAGAAGCTAAATGACACTGACAGTCAGAGATTTAACTGCGTAAACATCAGCCATTCCTCAAAAAAGCAATAAAAGCAACTTGAAGTTGAGTGCTAATCATGACCACATTGGCTATAAAAACATAATTACTTTAGATTCAAACCTCTTGTCAAAATGCTAACATCTTCCCCCTGATGAATATCTTCTGTATTAATGTGAATGAAAGATGAATGGGTTTTGCTCTGAACAAACTCTTTGTGTCCATGTGTGACCCTGGGCAGACACACTGGTAGTGTTTTCATTTTCTTTTCCTTTGAGGAAACTTTTAAAATCAATACATTTGGAAAAGCAATTTAGTTATTTTTTTCTCTTTATTTTGCTCAAGCACTCAGATGGCTTTGCAATGCTTTAGCAGTTAAGACTTTCCTCAAGACACCAGAGGGAAGTGTGGAAGAAGTGCAACTGAAATGCAAATTGAAGACCTGCTTGGAGCTACTTTTGCTTTGCTTTTGCATAAAATGGTCAGAACTCAGAGCACAGATAGACTTGTGCTCTCTCCTTATATATAATCTTGGTGACTAATACATGTTTAATTTCTGTACAGAAGAAAACTGTGACAAAAGGAGGTAACAGAGTAAAAACTCGTTAAATCTTTTAGTTCTGTTCAGTTACTTTTCAGTTTGCCAGGTTAGAGGTTGAATCTATTGTACAAACACAATCTGTTCTTAAGATTTCAACTTATATTGCTGACATCTTAGATTCTTCCAACGGACCTCACAAAATTGCATCGACTCTGCCTAGCTACCGCGGCCTCTTAGCCCAGATTCACACAGGCAGCAGCTGCACATGGGCACCACGTCAATGGACTATATGTGATACCTACATCTAGCAAATACACTTTGAGTGAAGAGTATTTGTCACATTGTTGTAATATACTTTGCAGAGGGAGATTTCCTGTGTCTTAAACCATTTACAAGCCTCTGTGCTATTGACTAAATAAACCTACCTCCAAATTAAATAATAATATTTTTACTATACTATACTATGATTATACGTATAGATGTAGTGACTAGTATAATTTCAGCAAGGTTCAGCCCACAGGGACTTACCCAGATCTCTTGTTGACCTGAGCAGTATCCCTACAGATGAACGCTACTAAGGGGATTTTGGTGGTACTCCAATGCAGTGACCAAGTTTCTAAGTCTGCATTTAGTAGTCACCTGACATAATGCTACTGTCTTCTAGATACAATATGCATTTTACTCTCAATGTAAAGCATATTGCACATCTAAAATGGTATTAAATGCTTCTGAGATTTGAGAGATCCACCTCAGCAGTGGATGCAATGAGTACGCTTACATTTTAAAATCTGTATATCTCATGAACCACTGGTGGATGTCTCATTTTAAAAAGTCACCAGTCTGCTTACTGCTAATATAAGCATGCACTGTGTATGAACATAATTAATATAATTAGTATTGCCTGTGTTAAGTGCATGGCAGTTGAATGATGAGGCCATCAGCAGTGTCGAGGGATAAGGTGAAATCCTATCAGTACTCTTTCTCTGCCCTATTCACTGACAGCTTGCAGCAAGGAATGGCAGATAATTGATGATGTCTCTGTCCCCGGGGAAATAAAAGTCCCTTCTCTCAGCTCTCCTTTCAGTCTGGAATCGGGGAAACAGCTGAGCCTGAGCTAATGAGAGGGGAAAGGACCATCGAGCCCATCACTTTCACAAGGCTGCCCTTTCTTCATCACCCTCAGCATAGACCTCCACCTCCCATAACACTAAAATATTTGATAAACAGTGTGGACTTCAATCCAAGCTAAGAGAGGGGAAATTCAGTCAGAAACACATTTGCTAAATCTAGACTCACTTTTGCATGGTCCCTTTTGTTTGCTTTTTCCCCATGACCAATTCGGAGATTATTTTTTTTTCTTCACCACAAGATGAGGGGAAGTTGTTTTTGCTACACATGTGCTAACAACCATGTAAAGCTCCAATAAATATACCGGTGGTGACAGTGCCCTTGATTCCTCCTGGTCTCTCCTTGAAGCAGTTACAGTTATGGGTCTGGGTCTAGGGTTTGCTGTAAGGTGTTAGGGAGCTGTCTGCAGCTCAGGGCCCAGGGAATAGAGGCTTCAAGGACACTTTGGGATTATGTATAATCCTTGATTAAATGGGAATAGGGGGTAGGACTCAATGACTGAAGGGATCCTTTGTTCCTATGTTACTTTTTGGTGTGACACGTGTTTCAAGATCC